GGCGGTACCGTGCAGAGTCTTCAGAGCACCGCGTGAATACGGCGGAAGAGTGTGCGTGCAGTGGCATGCGGCCGAACACAGCGGAGTCCGTGTCCTCTCGAGCGCTCGTCGGAATGCAAGACCACGCCTTCCGCTTCTAGCCTCCGTGCTGCCAGAGACGGGGGGAGATATGGGGAGATATGGGGAGATCTTCCGCTTCTAGGCTCCGTGCTGCCAGATACGGGGAGATACGGGGGGAGATCTGGGGAGATCTTCCGCTTCTAGGCTCGCGTACGGTGCGCTCAAAGAGGTCCCGCGACGCTGCCGCCGCCTTCACCAGCACAGTGGGGAGAGAGGTGGCGGTGAGGGGCGGGCGTAGGGCGGCAGGCCGCGAGGGATCGAGGCGCGTGCCGCGGGCCGTGCGAGGGAGCAACTCGGAAGTGTCTCGGCAGTGTCTCGGCAGTGTCGCGGAAGTGTCTCGGCAGTGTCTCGGAAGTGTCTCGGCAGAGTCTTGGAAGTGTCGCGGCAGTGTCTCGGCAGTGTCTCGGAAGTGTCTCGGCAGAGTCTTGGAAGTGTCGCGGCAGTGTCGCGGCAGTGTCTCGGAAGTGTCTCGCCGCCTTCATCAGCTCCTCGGACGTCTTGATCTCCTTCTGGGGCAGTGGCGAGCCGTCCGACCTAGCGGCGGGGAGATATGGCGAGATATGGCGAGATATGGCGAGATATGGCGAGATATGGCGAGATATGGCGAGACACGGCGAGATATGGCGAGACACGGCGAGACACGGCGAGACACGGCGAGACACGGCGAGACACGGCGAGATATGGGGAGATATGGGGAGATATGGGGAGATATGGCGAGATATGGCGAGATATGGCGAGCCGTCCGACCTAGCGGCGGGGAGATATGGCGAGATATGGGGAGATATGGGGAGATATGGCGAGATATGGGGAGATATGGCGAGATATGGGGAGATATGGCGAGATATGGGGAGATATGGGGAGATATGGCGAGCCGTCCGACCTAGCGGCGGGGAGATATGGCGAGATATGGGGAGATATGGGGAGATATGGCGAGATATGGGGAGATATGGCGAGATATGGGGAGATATGGGGAGATATGGGGAGATATGGGGAGATATGGCGAGATATGGGGAGATATGGCGAGATATGGGGAGATATGGGGAGATATGGGGAGATATGGGGAGATATGGCGAGATATGGGGAGATATGGCGAGATATGGCGAGATATGGCGAGATATGGCGAGATATGCGAGATATGGCGACATATGGCGAGACACGGCGAGATATGGCGAGATATGGGGAGATATGGCGAGATATGGCGAGATATGCGAGACACGGCGAGACACGGCGAGACACGGCGAGATATGGGGAGATATGGCGAGTATGGCGAGATATGGCGAGATATGGGGAGATATGGGGAGATATGGCGAGATATGGCGAGATGTGGGGAGATATGGCGAGATATGGCGAACCGTCCGACCTAGAGGCGGCGTGGGAGGGTCGGGCGTGGGTGGCAGTGCTGTCGATGGCGGGGGCGGCGGGGGCGGCGGCGGCGTGGGCAGCGGTGGCGATGGTGGCGGCGTGCGCGCGTGCGTGCGTGCGTGCGTGCGTGCGTGTGTGTGTGTGTGTGCGTGTGTGTGTGTGTGCGTGCGTGCGTGCGTGTGTGCGTGTGTGGGATCGTGCTGAGTGAGTGTGTGGGTGTGGGGGTGTGAGCTTGGCGTTGCCTGCCGGACTAGCCACCCGTCGGTCTCTGTCCGTCGATCTGTGTGTGTCCGTTCTTCGACTGCCCGTGCGTGCGGTCTGGGGCGTTGGGTTGTGTGGGTGTGTGAGCGCGCCCACCTGCGCAGCTGCTCGCCCCGCGGCCCGGACGAGTCTGAGACGGCGCTCGCCTACAGGAAGGTTCCAGGAACGGTCCAGGAAAGGTCTGGGAAAGGTCTGGGAAAGGTCTAGGAAGGGTCTGGGAAAGGTCTGGGAAGGGTCTGGGAAAGGTCTGGGAAAGGTCTGGGAAAGGTCTAGGAAGGGTCTGGGAAAGGTCTAGGAAGGGTCTGGGAAAGGTCTAGGAAGGGTCTGGGAAAGGTCTAGGAAGGGTCTGGGAAAGGTCTGGGAAGGGTCTGGGAAAGGTCTGGGAAGGGTCTGGGAAAGGTCTGGGAAGGGTCTGGGAAAGGTCTAGGAAGGGTCTGGGAAAGGTCTAGGAAGGGTCTGGGAAAGGTCTAGGAAGGGTCTGGGAAAGGTCTAGGAAGGGTCTGGGAAAGGTCTAGGAAGGGTCTGGGAAAGGTCTGGGAAGGGTCTGGGAAAGGTCTAGGAAGGGTCTGGGAAAGGTCTAGGAAGGGTCTGGGAAAGGTCTAGGAAGGGTCTGGGAAAGGTCTAGGAAGGGTCTAGGAAAGGTCTGGGAAGGGTCTGGGAAAGGTCTAGGAAAGGTCTAGGAAAGGTCTAGGAAAGGTCTGGGAAAGGAGGGTCTGGGAAAGGTCTAGGTGGGAAAGGTCTAGGAAAGGTCTAGGAAAGGTCTAGGAAAGGTCTAGGAAAGGTCTAGGAAGGGTCTAGGAAGGGTCTAGGAAAGGTCTAGGAAGGGTCTGGGAAAGGTCTAGGAAGGGTCTGGGTCTAGGAAGGGTCTGGGAAAGGTCTAGGAAGGGTCTGGGAAAGGTCTAGGAAGGGTCTGGGAAAGGTCTAGGAAGGGTCTGGGAAAGGTCTAGGAAGGGTCTGGGAAAGGTCTAGGAACGGTCTGGGAAGGGTCTGGGAAAGGTCTAGGAAAGGTCTGGGAAAGGTCTGGGAAGGGTCTGGGAAAGGTCTAGGAAGGGTCTGGGAAAGGTCTAGGAAAGGTCTGGGAAAGGTCTAGGAAGGGTCTGGGAAAGGTCTAGGAAGGGTCTGGACCGAGGTGCGCCGAGACGAGCTGTGATGAGCCGAGAGGAGAGGAGAAAGGAAGGGAGGTGAGAGATGCGTCGAGGTGATTGGATGTGGTGGTGAGAGGTGGTGAGCTTGAGGTGAGGAGATTGGGCCAAGAGATTGGGCCAAGGTAGATGGTGTGGGCTGGGCAGAGAATGCCGCTCGCCTCGCCGCTGCCCGAGGCGGAGGCCTTGGCCTTCAGATCCGCCTTGTCGGGCGCCTTGTAGCCGGAGGCGAGCTGCAAGCGGAGCACAGGAGGAGTGGGCGCCGGTGTGTGTGTGCGGTGGTAGCGTGCGGTGGTAGCGGGAGGCGCGCGCTCGCCTTTGCTGATTCGCGAGTGAGTGTCGATCCGCCGCGGAGCTGCCGGTAGCGCGAGTACAGCAGCCACAGGACAAAGACCATCGCCGCCAGCGCCGCGATCTTCTGCGTGGTGTCCCTCCAGAACAGCTCCCACAGGTGTTCGCGCTCGAGCGTCTCCTGAGGACGCCGCAGCAGAGAGGCGGTCAGTCTCGGCAGCGACAGCAGGAAGGTAGCGCGGACGCGACCGCACCCACTCCGCTGCTCCACTCTGGTGCGCGGCGAGCTCGGCCTCGTACGCTCGCGCCTCTCTCTCCGCAGCTGCGGCATCACCGTCAGCGACGCGTTCAGGTGTCGGCGGCACAGGGTCATCGATCGGTGGTGCACCACACCCTCCAGGGGGCTCCTCATACTGGGCGAAGGCCTTGAATGCCAGGCCTAGGTGGCGTGCAGCCGCCTTCCAGCCCATCGGCGTTGGTCCGGGTCGCGCGCTCCGAGGATATCCAGGGTGCACCTTCGACCTTGGGGATCGCAAATGTTTTTCTTCCTTTCGAGATTCTTTTCTTCTTTTTAGTCTTCTTTTTAGTCCTAAAAATGGAGCTCGGCTAGGGTTGCGCAGCGACAGGAGCGAGTTCGCGCTGCGCTAGGCTCAGACGGCCAGTTCGCGCTGCGCTAGGCTCAGTACGGCGAGTTCGCGCTGTGCGGCCTGGCTGCACCGCTCTAGCAAGAGACTCTGGGCTCTCCTCTTGCGAAGATTTTATCTCTCGGCTGCGTTGGCTCGCCAAAAGTCTTGTTGTTCTCGATGGCTGCTCGATCGTCCGCATGTGTCGTGGCGTCGAGCCGGCAGTAGCCGTGACATGTGGTTCCACCACCCCTCTTAGGCTTTGCCTCTGACCGCCACCGTTCCCAGGCTGCCTAATGGGATGGAAAGGAAGGCTCGGCGAGCGTATAGAAGCGTGCTCGACCTCGTCGTGGCAACCTGTATGGCAGCGCTGGTAGGCGCGATGAGCGTCGTGCCACCTGACCCGAGACGGGTCGCAGGCGTCGTACCGAGCGCGTCGAGACCGTGTCCTGATGTGGTCTGCACGGGTGAATCACGTCGGCGTCAAAGGAGCGACGTGCGACTTGTCAGAGCTTGATATCCGATCTCAGCGGCGTCGAGTCTCGTCTCCGGCGCGCAACAAATGTACCTCCCCAGGACGCGCAGAGGCAGCTGCGACCCCGCCGAGTAGACGGCGGCACGCCGCGCCCCCTGCTGTGTGCCGCCGTCTACTCGGCGGGGTCGCAGCTGCGTCTGGAAGGCACCGAGAGGTACATTTTTCGCGCAATGGTCAAATCAAGGTTTTGTAACGCGAGCTGTGCCACAGTGAAATGGCACTAGCCACTGCATCCTGCCACCTTGGACACCTCGACACCTTAGACGCAAAACCCCTTGACAACACTCGACACCTGCTCGACACCCTCGACACCCTCGACACCCTCGACACCCTCGACACCCCTCGACACCCCTCGACACGGTCAAGCATGGTTCCAGCCTCGACAGGCCTCAACAGGCCTCGACAGGCCTCGACAGGCCTCGACAGGCCTCGACAGGCCTCGACACCTCTATCCCTCGACAGCAGCTCGACAGCAGCTCGACACCCTCGACACCGGGCCTCGACACCTCGACACCAGGGCTCAGGCGAGCCCCACCAGCTAAAACGTCTGCCGAAGAGAAGTAGACCCACAAAACCGCACGACGGGCGGCGGTGACACGGGTGACTAACTAGACCAGGACTGGGAGAGTGTGTGAAAAGGACGACGGACACGCTGTGGTTCGGACGTTACCCACGCACGAAGACGGTCGCGCAGGTGGAGTTGCCCCGCGGCGCGTCCTCGTCGCCCTGCCCAACCATCCATCGCGTCACCGCCGCGACGGCGGGCTCCGTCGCACCGAGACGCGCCCAGCCGTCCGCCTGGAAGGGCGGCACGGCGTCGGCGGCGGGCTCGGGGCCCACCAGCCACGGCGGCGGCGGCAAATCGGCGTCGGCGGCGCCAAAGCACTCTGACGGCCGAACACCCCACGTCTCCCACGGCAGCCCGGACTGTCCGCCGTCGCACTCGCCCAGCACCACGTAGGCGCGAACGCTCGGCTGCGCGCGCCACACCGCCGTCCAGTCCTCCTCGGGCATCCACGAGGAGACTACCACCTGGGGAGGGTGGGTTCGGGTACCATGGGGTAGGGGAGGGTGGGTTCGGGTACCGTGGGGTAGGGGAGACGACCACCTGGGAACAGAGATCTCTCTCCGGCTGCGCGCCTGGCCGGTGCGGCCTCCGAGTCGGCGACTAGCGCGCGCGATACGGGTTTTGCTCGCCTTCCCTGGGGCCCCGTGTCGCGTGTCTGACTGCCACTGTGCGCGAGGGTCGGTCGACTCCTAACTAACGAACTAGCTATAGTCGCGATTTGCCCGCGTGCGTACGAGCTCACTAGCTAGAGCTCGCACTAGAGGCCGTCCTCGCATTCGCCTTCCTGGGACCCGGTGCTCTGACTGTCGCTGCTGTCTCTCCCTTCCCTCGACTGCCTGTGCGTGTGCGTCTTGGGCCCAGGGTCGTGTGTTTGCGTGAACAGAGGCGGGTGTCGCGCTAGCCTTCCGTTGGGGCTCGGCGTCGCCCTGTTGTCTGACTGGTCGAGATCTGCCTGTCTGCCCGTCCTGTCCTCTCCTGTCCCGTCCTGTCCTGACTGCCTGTCTGCCTGTCCTGTCCTCTCGTACACATATGTCCTGCGTGCGATCTGGGGCCGGGCTGTGCCTTTGCGTGAACAGGCGCTCTGCCTGCACCCGCCCCAAGCCAGAACGCCTCCGCCGCTTGCGATGCCAGGCTGGAGCCCTCCCTCCGCCTCTGGCTCCGCGCAACGGCTCAAGGGGGGTGGGTGGGGGTGGGGGCGGGGGGGGGGGGGGGAAGGCCGCCAGGGAATACGGCAAGGAGGGCGGCCAGGGAGGGCGGCGAGGAGGGCGGCGGTGAGGTGGTGATGAGCTCCATCGCGTTCTACCACACCGCCCACGGACACTGAACCCACACTGGATTCGATCCTCTGGAGGTATGGGACTAGCGCACGCACCGTTGGCGCGTGTGTCGCTACAGCCTCGTCGTGCGACAGCTGTTCACGGCACGAGGTGTGAAGAGACACTGTTCGCAGCAGCAGTGACGCGCCGAGGAGGCGGAGGGGGCTTGCCTGCTGCGGCTGGGCGATGACCGACGCATCGCCGAACGAGCCGATAAAGCCGCGGCCGGCGAGAGCGTCCGTCGCGATGACCCTCCCTGTAGGGGAGGGTGGGTTCGGGTACCGTGGGGTAGGGGAGGGTGGGTTCGGGTACCGTGGGGTAGGGGAGGGTGGGTTCGGGAACCGTGGGGTGGGTTCGGGTACCGTGGGGTAGGGGAGGGTGGGTTCGGGTACCGTGGGGTAGGGGAGGGTGGGTTCGGGAACCGTGGGGTAGGGGAGGGTGGGTTCGGGTACCGTGGGGTGGGTTCGGGTACCGTGGGGTAGGGGAGGGTGGGTTCGGGTACCGTGGGGTAGGGGAGGGTGGGTTCGGGTACCGTGGGGTAGGGGAGGGTGGGTTCGGGAACCGTGGGGTAGGGGAGGGTGGGTTCGGGAACCGTGGGGTAGGGGAGGGTGGGTTCGGGTACCGTGGGGTGGGTTCGGGTACCGTGGGGTAGGGGAGGGTGGGTTCGGGTACCGTGGGGTAGGGGAGGGTGGGTTCGCCGTCGCGACGACCCTCCCTGCAGCCTCGGGACAATCTCGCTCACTCTCTCGCTCTCTCGTTGGACCTCTGGCCGGGCGTGGCCAGCGGTGGGCGAGCGGTGCATGCGCGGACATGCATGCACAGACACACAGCCCCTTCCCCTTCCAGACCTCAAAGGACGCGCGCGTGTGTGTGTGGGCATCAGAGGCGAGCCGTGCCGCAACCGTGTGACACCCGCAGTGTCACTGTCTGTGACGGCGGCATTTGCCTGCAACCGGCCCGCCGTCGCGGTTGAGGAAGTGCGCGAGCCGGCCTACGGGTACCGCACCTCCAGAGTCTCGAATCCAGTGCGGGTTCAGTCCCGTGGGTGGTGCGGTAGCTCCGCCTACGTACACAGAAGACGCATACCGCAAGCCGGGGGCACGGGACTGTGCAGCGTGCTCCGAGCACCGCGTGAGCACGGGCGACAACGGCAGTGAATGCGGCGGGAGTGCGGCTGAATGCGGCTGACTGCGTGTCCTCTCGAGCGCTGCTTGGGAGAGAGGAATTCGTGACGTATTCTGCTTCTAAGCCAGCCGGCCGTTGCCGGCGCCAACCTCAAGGACCGACCCGCCGGGGCCGGCGAGCTGGTGGAGCAGCGAACCTACTCCCGAGATTGCCCGAGATTGCCCGAGATTGCCCGAGATTGCCCGAGAGGGCGGCGAGCTGGCGGAGGAGCGAGCCCAGAGAAGCAACCATCTCGCGGTTGAGGAGCTGGCAGAAGCCGTGGCTCTCCGCGAACCTACCGCACCACCCACGGGACTGAACCCACACTGGATTCGACCACTCTGGAGGTATGGTACCGAGGCTCTCGAACCTAGATGGCAGCACCTCTCCCCATCTCTTCCCACCTCTCCACATCTGTCCCCGCCTCTCCCCATCTCTCCCCATCTCTCTCACATCTCTCCCCATCTCTTCCCACCTCTCCACATCTGTCCCCGCCTCTCCCCACCTCTCCCCATCTCTCTCCCCGCCTCTCCCCACCTCCCCCAATCCCTCCCCAGATCTCCGCGAACCAGTGCAGCAGCGCAAACGTCTTGTGCCCGAGAGGGTCGAGCCGCCCAAACGCGTCTTCCGCCTACAGAAAGGCGTCCAGGAAAGGTCTAGGAAAGGTCGTGTGCCCGTCGCGCCGCCCAAACGCGTCTGCCGGGCCGGGCGCAGCGAGGGCCGAGGCGACGTCGCCGCCCGCCGCGAAGTGCTCGCGCCACAGCCTCGCGCGGCGCGCGGTCCGGCGACGCGGCGGTGGCGGCCCCTCCCACCCTCCGACGCCTCCGTGCCTACGTGACGAAGACGCCACCGACCTCGCGGCGGGGGAGAGAGGGCTTGTGCAGAGCGTTCCACAGGCGCATTTGTGCTCGAGCCCTTCCGCTGTGCTTCCAGGGGTGCGGAAGGGACTAAAGAGTCTTCCCAGGGCCTCGCGTGAATGCGGGCGACACAGGCACAGTGAGTACAGCGGAAGGCGTGCCCTCTCGAGGGGTGGCTGGAGCACAAGACTGCGGCTTTCGCTTCTAGCCCTCCGTGCGAGTCTGCGGCCTTTCCTAGACCTTTCCTGGACCTTTCCTAGACCTTTCCGCTTCTAGGCCTCCGTGCGAGTCTGCGGCGTGGCGTATGCCGAGCCGCTCCACGAGCTCGGCGTGGGCGGGCAGGCGGGTGTGGTCGTCGAGGCCGCCGCGCAGGGCGCCCTCGTGCGCGCCGCTGCCGGCCCACCGACGGCCCATCAGCGCCATGTAGAGCGCGTGCGAGCCTCGGCGGTACTCGTCGGACCAGACGCCGTTGGTCGCCGCGAGGACGCCCAAGATTGCGCAGACCAGGCCCTCGGCCTCGTCGGCCGGCATCGAGGCGGTTCCGGCCGCAAAAGCATGCGCCACCTCCGCCTGACCCTCGCGCCGGCTCGCACCCGCGCCCGACTGAGACATCATCGCGCCCACGAGGCCCTCCGCACTCGCGAGCGTGGCCGGCTTCAGCCCCGAGATGGCGGCGGCGCAGAGCGCGGCGGCGTCGGCAGCGGGGTGCAGGCAGCGGCCACGCGCGGGGAAGCGAAGGAAGGGGGAGAGGAGCATATGTCTGCGCGAAGAAGGGGAGGGCTCCCTGGTCTTGGAGGTCTTTTTAGTTGCAACCCATACTGTCCCGTTTTGCTGTTCACAGCTAGGGACGGCCTCTGCGGCAAAGTCAAACCACCCCACCTACCGCCGTCCCCGACAGCGCCGCGCTGCTCGAGGCCGAAGACGTCCGCGCTCGTGCCGAGAGCAGCGTGTCCGGGTGCGCCGCCTGCTGCTGCAGCAGAGACCAGTGGTAGCCAATCGACCAGAGGAAGGGGCCTAGCGGGTCGCCCTGCGCGCAGCCCTCCTCCGAGTAGTAGACCTTGCCGTCGGCGTCGGTGGCGAGCGCGTGCCGCCGCCGCCGCCGCCGCCTCCGTCGCCGCCCTGGCGGAGACCGCCCGCGCCGCCTCGGCCGCCGCCGGCTCCGCCGCGTTTGTTGTGGCGGCGGCGCTTGCCCCCCCTCCCCCCGCCGGCGCCCTCAGCAGGCCCGCCGTCAGCCGCTGCAGCCTCCTCGGATGTCTTGTCGGCGCCGTCGTCGTGGCAGAGGCCGCAGGTCTGTGAGGCGTCGGCGCTAGCCGGGCAGCATGCGCAGCCCCCGCCGAATGCCTTGAGAGGCGAGCCGGCGCCGGAGAGCGCCGGCCGGACACCGGGTGGGAGGCTGAGCCCTGGCCTCGACACCTCGACACCAAACCTCGACACCAACTCGACACCTCGACACCCCATGCCAACTCGACACCCTCGACACCCCTCGACACCCCTCGACACCATCTAGGCTGGTACCACGCTCGTCCGTGTCAAGGTGCCAAACTCGACACCTCGACACCGCTCGACACCGCTCGACACCGCTCGACACCGCTCGACAACCGCTCGACACCGCTCGACACCTCTGATGATCTCTAACACAGCAGAGACGTAGACCCATTTGGAGTCACAGAGTTAGAAAATCAGGGTTGCAGCAGCAATACTTGGCTGGCAGTACTTTTATCCCTCAGTTGCAGCCTCTCAAAAGTTCTAGGTCAAGTTGCGGCTCAGTTGCACCCCTGTTGATGTAGCAAACATGGCAGTACTCAGGTAGCCCTCAGGTGCTGCACAGCACCTTGTACAGTGGCAATGAATCCTCACACCAGTGAGCTTGTGCCATGAGTGCAGACCTGTGGTCCATTGCGCTTTGTGCACTGGCGACGCTCGGCTGCAACGGCGACGCTGCAGCGGCGGCGACGCTGCTGCGATGGGGTACTGTAGCCCTTAGCTGCTGGACAGCACCTTGTGCAGTGGCAATGTCCACTGACTCATGGCACCAGCCTTGTGAAAGGAGCGCTGTGGTCAGTTGCGCTTTGTGCGCCGGTGGCGCTGCAGGGGCGACGACGCTGCAGCGGCGACGCTGCTGCGGTGCTGCGCCTGCACAGCACCTTTGTGCACAGTGGCAATGACTCCCGGCACTTGATGTCTCAAATGTCCACAGAGAGTATACTGGTTGTGCTCAGGTTGTGCTACATCAACAGGGTGCAACTGAGAGGCTGCAACTATAAGGGATGAAACAGCTTTGCAACTGCTGCCCAAGTTTTGTTGATGGGCTGCAACTGCACATCCTCCCCCCCCCGCAAGGCGCGAGACACACGCCACCTTGGACACCTCGACACCTTAGACGCAAAACCCCTTGACAACACTCGCGACACCCGCTCGACACGCTCGACACGCTCGACACCCTCGACACCCTCGACACCCCTCGACACCCCTCGACACCCCTCGACACGGACAAGCGTGGTACCAGCCTCGACAGGCCTCGACAGGCCTCGACAGGCCTCTCGACACCTCTACCCCTCGACAGCAGCTCGACACCCTCCACACCGGGCCTCGACACCTCGACACCAGGGCTCAGGTGGGAGGCCGGCTGGCGCGCCGCCGCAGCCCTCGTCGAGCTCCATCGCCCCCGGTGCTGCACGCTCCAGCTGCGCAAGTTTGCTTTTTTTTGCGCTTGCTTTCAGTTGCAAAATCGGCGCCGCCAGCAAAACGCCTTCGCTTGCCGCCGGAAGAGAATGCGCGGCCTCCACGCCGTGCTCGCGCTCGTCACCCTGGATGTGGCAGCCTCTGCATGCTTTACGCGGGATTACGCGGAACAGACGTGGGCGGATAAATCCAACACCACCTACACCTGCACAGGTAAAGCACCTGACGAGTGCTGCTCGCAAATCGTTGAAGGTGGGGGGTCCACGCGCGATCTTTTCATCACAACCGAAGAGGTGCCGTGCACCAGTGACGAAGATTGTAGCGACAAGGGGCAGTCGTGCTGCTCCTGGGACGGCGAGCAAGGCTTACACACAGCCGGCTTTTGCGGCGAGATGTGCACAAGTTCATTCATCCCGGTCACGGACTGCCCCGAGGGTTGCGAGCCCGACCCTCTCCCGGTCGTGGGTGGCCGCCGCTCGATCCTCTTTGCGTCGCAACCGGTCCGCGCCCCCCCCCGGGGGCGAGAGCCGAGATGACGCGAGGCAGGGCCCTGAGCGAGGAGCGTTCTCTTGTAGGTGTCCTGCCCCGCGGGCTGCGTGCCGACCACCGGACCTTAGGGGCTGATTGGACTCTGAAGGAGGGAAGCTTCCGGCTTGCTTGTCCGAACCTAGAACATGGCTCAGCGGCGCTCGACAGAGATGCCCCCCTCGCCGGGGCGGGGTTTGACGCGCGCGCGCGCGCGCGCATCAACCACTAGCGCACACGCGCGCGCGCATCAACCATACGTAGACTAGCACTTGCTCTCTCTCTCCTCTGAGTGGGGTGTGGTTTAAGTGGTGTGACGTTGCGCTTGGTGCGTCAGTCTGTCTCTGTCTCTGTCTCTGTCTCTCTGTCTCTGTCTCTGTCTCTGTCTCTGTCTGTCTCAAACCACCGAGGGGTACGATTCCACATAATTCATCCGACGGAAACGTGGCGATGGCACCTGATTCGGGGCGCAGTGGGGGGGGGGGGTGAGGATTTGGTTCTGAAGAAGGTGGGGCGAACCGAGGGGGATGGGGGAGGGTCACCGTTTGGGCGAGCCAAGGCTGTGGCGCCGACGGCGGCACCCTTGTACGAGGCTGTGAGGGGAGCGGCGGCGAGAGGGGGGGCGGCAGCGACGCAGGCGAGCCGCACGCGCGCGCGACTGAGGGAAGCGCGGGCGGCGGGAAAAAGGAGAACGGCGGCGGCGGCGAGGCGCAAAACGGGGGCGGCGGAAGTGGGGGCGACGGCGGCGGCGGAGTGAACGGCGGCGCGCGCACGGACGGCGACGAAATCGACGGCGGGGAGGGGCAGGGCTGCATGGCGGCGGCAGGCGCGCGCACATTCGTCGTGTTTTCGCATTGGCATTCCACGTGCTCCTCGGCGACCTGCGTGCGCGGGAACGGCAGGGGTCATATCGCGCGCACCGGGCGGCGCCGTGCTCGCAGCAGCCGGGATCGCGGCAGAGTATGGTGGAGAGCTCTACCCGCGCACCTGCCCAGCGATGAGCTCGACGCCGCTCCTGGCAGGCGAATGAATAACTGCACTCCATCCAAAAACTCCACGGTGTGTGTGCAAGAAGAAGAAATGCAGGCCGAGAGTTGCGTGTCTTCATTTTTGTGAATGAAGGGCGCCATCCAGTTCAAAACCACAAGCAAGGTCTTTCATGCCACGGGACACGGCGTGCTTTCGGGGGAGGATTACGTGTATCAGTACGTGAGCTGCAAGGATGACGGGACCAGCCTACGAATGTGGTGGGATCGGACATTGTCCGCGGCCAAACGTGGTAATTGACGGGGCCGACCCTCCACGCCTCGCCATTCAACTCGATGGACGTGGGAGGGAGCGACAATCCTGCGGTGATCATTTCGGACTATAAGAGAACCCCCTCTCCCTTTTCTCCCAGTAAGCTAAAAGATTATAAGCAGGTCGGGGCTTGGTTATTGCAAACCGATGGGCCGCACAGATGGTACCCGGGCAGCCGTGACCCGTGTCCAGGACGCCTTCTACCCGGCGAACGACGACGTCATCAAGGTCTACCACAGCAACATTTCAGCCTCCCGGCTCGCCGTGTGGAAGGGCTACAACGATCCTGTGATCCAGACAGGGTGGAACTTTTGGGAGGACCACCGAGACGGCATCTCGATCGAGCAGTTACACGTGATCCACTCCCGATACAAGAGGAGTGGCGAGTACATGTTATCAGCACAAGCTCGTGCCACCCTCGAGAGGCGGTGTCTGTGGCGTGCGCTCACGCGCTAGTACGGCGCGCGAGATACCGCGCGCGCAGCGAGAGCGAGGGTGACCAAGAACTTCGTCTGTCACCAAAAGAAGCACCGGACCTTTCGCTCCGAGCAGGAAATCAGGATCGCCTGGTGCTCCTCGTGTTGCTCCGGCATCTCGAGCGTTTTGAGCGCGGGGAGGCCTCCGGCGCGAAGAGCGGCGGCGAGCGCATCGACGCCTTCGTCGGAGATCCCGACGTTGCCGTGGAGGTGCAGCACCTCCAGCGACCGGAGGCCGGGGCTGCTCGCTGCACCGAGCAGCGCCAGCAGCCCGGTGTCGTCGAGCTCGTTGTTTGCGAGGGACAGGAGTCGAAGCCCTCCCAGCGCGCCGAGCGCGGGGACAATCAGCGCAAACCCTTGGCTGGTGATCATGTTGCTGGAGAGATCGAGGATCGTCAAAGCCGGCAGCGCTGCAGTAGCGCCAGCGCCAGAGCAGAGGGCCGTCGCGAACCCGGTGCAGAACTCGTCCCCCAGGCTGTTGCCGCCTAGGTTGAGCGCGCGGAGACGCGGCAGAGATGACCTCCGCTTGGCAGCGACGGCCAGCGCCTCGATGACGGGCTGCATGTCTGGCCCGCCCACGTGCTGCTTGTACAGGCTGAGCCCCTCGAGAGCGACGAGCGACCCGCCCTCAATGAGACGCCCCAGGCTGGCAAGATCGGACGCGGCGAGGGGCATGCCAGCCTTGGGGGGCTGCAGAAGGGTCGCACCGTGCAGCTGCCGGCGACGCAGCTGGAGCTTGAGGCATAGCGCGCCCACGCCGAGGTATCTCCCTTTTAGCAGGCGCAGCGCTGGCCTCAGCACTTCATGCAGGCGACGACACGTGGCAGTGAGCGCAAAGGCGGCGACACATGGTGGGATAAGCGGGTCGGGAGAGTTGCCCACCACGCAGCGGAAGATGTGGAGGAGAAGGTCCGAGGCGAGGTGGTCGAGGATGGATGGCTGTCGGTCAGTGGTGGCGAGGCTCGACAGTGCACGGCTGGGTGCGGCACGCCTCGTTGTCGTGCACCAACGCGGGTTGCACGTCGCGAGGAATCTCATGCGCGGGGAGCGCGACGGAGGTGGCGGTGCTGTGAGCTGCGTGCGTCCTCACGGAAGTTTCATGCACCGCATCCGAATGACGGCCATGCAGACGGAAAGTCGATGCAGATCAACTAGGAGTGTCGCGTCGGCTCCTCTGCACATCTCCGTATACATTTTTCTGCATCGTATAACAGTGCATAAGCGCCGCCCCTCCGAAATATACTTACTTTTCTGCTGAGTGTGATCAGCAAGCACCACCCCCCACGTCGCACGATCGTGCGTGAGCGCTGCGGATTCGACCACCCGCGTCGCTGGTTGTGAATTGGGCGACGGCGCATCTCTGTGGTGAACGGCGGAGAGAAGAGCGCGGCTGTGACAGCTTGTGGGAGCCGAGAGGCGCGCCGCCATCGTAAGGCATCCTCGATCGAGCGATCGGTTTTACCCCCCCCCCCCCCCAGGCAGTGTGGTGAGATACGAGACGGTTGGAAATAGATCTGTCTATCTTGACGCTCTCCGCGACGCCACGACTCGCACCGCCTGCCCCCCACATCCCCACGCCCGCCAGCCCTACGATCAGAGATTACCAGAGCTACCTACTGCTGCTCAGCGGGGCCAGCGCCGTACTGCATCAGAGCTCACTGCGGCTGCTCGGGAGGTGGCAGTGCGTGGAAGAGCATCTCGCCACGCGTCTCGTCGGGCCACGGCTCGCCCGGATGGACGGTCATGTGGCGCAGCTTGGAGTTGGAGAACTCGTACACCGCCACCGTGCCCCACGGAGGCGACCTGTCCGCCGGGTACGCGAAGAACTGCACGGCGTGCCTCTCCTCGCCCGGCCGCGGCTCGCCCGCATGGAAGGTGAGCTGGCGCTGCCGGGCGCTCCACCAGTCATAGACAGGCACAGTGTCGGGCGGCGGCGCGGCGTCGGCGGAGATGGCGATAAACTGCGGACCACGCTCCTTCTCACTTCCCCACGGCTGCCCGGCGTGGATAGTGAGCTGGCCGAGCTTGCTGTTCCAAAAGTCCTTCACGACGACGAGCGAGGAAGCGTCCGGATAGGAGGGCGGGCACCAGAGGCCAAGCGAGAGGACGCACGCGGCGGCGCGAGGGGCGTCCAGGAGGGTGGCGTACACGGCCAGAGCCCAGTCTAGGAACGCGAGTGGCGCGGCCAGGGCCCAACCCGGCGGCCCGTGCTCACCGTCCTCAGCCGCACCGTTCTCGGCTTCGCGCTCGAGCGACGCTGGATCTGACGCAATGCAAACCAGCCCAACCAGCGTAGCGAGTAGGGCGCAGCATACGAAGAGGGCCCAGCGTAGCGACGAGGGCGCGTCCGGCACCCGTATCATGGCGAGCGAAGAGGGCGCGTCCGGCACCCGTATCATGGATGCGAGAGGGGTACAATGGGCGCCGACTTTGTGAGCAATCTCTTGTTGAGAAGAAAATACGAAGTGGGTGAACGCCGTCCCTCCGAGCTGCTCGTCGCTGCCGGCCACGCCGCCGACCGCCGCTGCAACGTGCCGCAGCTAGCTAGCTGGGCGTCGGCACCAACCAAGGGAGGGTGGCGCCGAGATCATCGTGGCGGCCGTCCGCACGCACCTCGGGCTGCACCAGGCTGCACCCCGACCACGCCGTCGCCTCAGACGACAAGAAGAACGGCTTCAACTCCATCTGGCGCTCGAGTCTTCAAGCTTGAGTGGTTTTTAGGTCTGTTGTTGAGTGAGTGGCACTTGGAGCACTTGGAGTGCAGTCAGTAACCGCACATCCAAGGCCGGGGAGCTAAGAAGCGCACCCAGCGGGCCGGATGATTGGCATCGGGTTGCGGGCAAGAAAGCCCTAGCCCTGGGGGTGCGCGTTCGCAGGGAGAGGGCCGTAAAGTAAACTGCACTCCAAGTGCTCCAAGTAAACACGGGTCTCCGAGGGTTGGTTCCGTGTACCGGGTTTCCCCTTAACTTCAGAACGCCCCCTCTACTCGGAGCGAGTAGACACGACACTGTACACCACGTACGTACACAGGTCCTCACTCAGCATCCCGTCCCAGGGTTCCACCGCCCGCCTTCCCGGGGCTCCGGTTCTCCCTGATTCGCTCTTTTATTCGCCAGCCGAGCGTCGCCTGACGGCCGCTGTAGCCGTTTCTGATGTCTCTTCTTTGGCCGAGGTCTCGCCTCCGCTTCACCTCCGACTGGTACTGCCGCCTCCGAGAGCGTCGACTCACGACTGCCCTGCTGAAGTTTCCCCGGGCGAGGACGGCGGCATTGGATCGTGTCGCCTCCCCTCCCCGGGGGGTCGAGCCCGCTCTCCCTGGTCGGCGAGTCGTGCCCGCACCCGCGGCCTCTCTATCGTCCCTGGCTCGCCCCCCCCTGGCTCCGCGCGCGACTTACTTACTTAGAACTTACGCGAGTAAGTAGTCCGTGTTTTGGCTAGCCAAAGGAACCTAGCGAAGATGACCGTGCGTGGCTCACTTTTGGTCTAGGTCTACTAGCTGTTCTGCAAATAAATTGGCCTACGAAGAAGGCGTTCGACGCATCGATGATTTTGCTCACCGTCGAAGAGAAGGGGCGTCCGTGTTGCCGCGTGATATATGCAGGAGAGCTGCTGCTGGGGGGCGCTGATCTCGCAAGCGAGGTGCCGGCGCTCGAACTTGACGCTGCCAGATATCACCCCCTTCCTTGCCCAGTTCTGCACGGGCTGCCAGACGCATGGCTTCTGCGTGCCAGTCGAGCGGGTCTTGGTGCCTCCAGCAGACGCAGTGCTCCTCCTCAGCAACAGCAGCTCGAATGGGCCGTGGAGCGCAGCACAGCGAGGCGTGCCGCGCTTTCGGATCGCCAACGACGCCGCAAACTGCGTAGGTCCGGCCGTCGTGATCTTTGAGAGCCCTGTGCCACAGGCCGCCGCTACTACCGCCGCCAATGCGAACGCGGCTGCGAGAGAGGGGAGTTCGCAAGGCGCTCGTCTCGACGCGGCGCTCATGGGCGGTGGCGGGGCGGTAGCGCCTGGTGCGGCTCCGACGGCGATGCCGCCTCGTGCGTGGTGGGAGCCGCTGCCGGGGACGTGGCTGTTCCAACCGTCCTCGGGTTTGCCTTGCGTTCGCTTTGTTCCGATGCACGAGACGCTCGTCCTCTCGCCGACGATCAGCGAGGAGTGCGCAGCAGCGCTTGGGCTCACAGCGACAGCGCTGCCGCTGCTCGCACCTCAAGCGGCGACCACATCGGCGGCTCAGGTTCCACCGGTTCCACAGCCGGCCGTTGCGCTTTGGAGCCAACGACGGCCGCGCCTGCTGGAGCTCGTGAGCAATCTCATGGCGCACGGGGTGACGAGTCACGTCCCCGTCACGGGCAATGCGGGCCAGACCCTCCTCCTCTCGAGCCTCGTGGGGCAGCTCGATGAGATGATCCGGAACCCTCTGGCTGTCCATGGACGAGCGTTTCCGCTGGAGATGCTTGAGATCATCCAGGCGCAGAGCAACGCCTCGCACCTGTGCCGTTCTCTCCTCAACCACCGCCACTGCCCTCCGTCGCTGTCGTCTCCTATTCCAAAGCCCTCGCCGCTGCTATCCTCACCACTGCTGCCCTATGCTGCTGCAGGCCGAGCTCGAGGTACGGTGGCAGCAGCTGTCGGCAACGATGCCTTTGGGCTTGCCGCAGGCGTCGCCGTCGGCCCCCTCTGTGGCGCAGCTGGAGCTGCACTCCTCGTTCATCGCCACTGAACAGACTGCAGCGACGACAGCGGCGGCGGCGGCGGCGGCGGCGGCGGCGGCGGCGGCATCAGCATCAGCATCAGCATCAGCGGCAGTGGCGGCAATGCAACATGGCGGCGGCGACGCAGCATTCGCAGCAACAGCATCAGCTGGCGCGCCGTCTATGTCTATCCCTCAAACAAGTGCCTACGACTCCGAAGACGCCCCCCGCCACTCATGACCGTCGCCCTCGGGAAGGCTGCTGCACTCCTGCACTTGGATGGAGCACTTGGAGTGCGGTGTGCCCGTCTTTCTGGCGGCACATACGTTTCGTTGTCGCATCGTCGCACACAACGTCCTCACAACACAAGACATCCTCAGAGAGAACAAAAAAACAAAAACAATTTTGTTTTCATACGCCTTGTTTCCAGCAAGGTGGTCGAGAGCCTCTAGGCGGCTCTTGGACCTAGGAGGATGCTCTTCGCCGCTTCCGTTGCCTCCGCCGCGTCCGCCGATGCCGCGGCGCCCCCCGCGACCGTCGCCACCGCCGGCGGCGCCCAGGCGCGCGGCGGCTGGATGCCGTTCGCCCAGCAGGGCGGGTCGACGGGCGTCAACTTTGCGTCGCAGGGTGCCGACACGGCGTTGCACTTCTTCACGGACCCAAAGTGCGCCGCCCCCGCCCGCTCGCCTCGCACCCGCCATGCCCTCGCCCTCGCCCCGAGACGCGCCCCAGCCCCGCCCGCCGCCGCGCGCGTGCACTGAGAGAGCTGCGCTCAGCGAGCGTCGCCCCGCACGCCGCACAGCTTCGACTTCCAGAAGGAGGGCCAAAAGTACCAGCAGCTGAGCGGCGAGACGGGGAACGCCTTTGGCGGGCTGTCGCAGGGTATGCTGCCGCAGCAGGCCGCGCCGCAGCAGGCCGCGCCGGCGGGCACGGCGCCTGAGGCGCCGGCCGCCACCTCGCGCGCCGGCCCCCAGCCCGCATCCCGGGATGGCATCCCGATGGGCAGCTGGCAGGACTTCATGAACATGGGCATCCACACGGGCATCGCCTATGCCGGCGCGGGCGCCGACACGGCGACCGAGTGGGGCAATGGCAAGGGCGACGGCGCCGCGACGGCCAACAAGTTCGGCGCGCTCAGCCAGACAACGGGCAACAACTTCAATACGCTGTCCGGCGGCACGCCGGCGGCGGCTGGCGCGACCGCCCCCGCCCCGGCCGCCTCGGCCGCCGCCGCACCTGCCGGCGCGGCTCCCGCGGCCAACCCGGCCGGCAAGGCTCCCGGCCTCGCCTCGTGGCAGGACTTCATGAACATGGGCATCCACACGGGCATCGCCTATGCCGGCGCGGGCGCCGACACGGCGACCGAGTGGGGCAATGGCAAGGGCGACGGCGCCGCGACGGCGAACAAGTTCGGCGCGCTCAGCCAGACAACGGGCAACAACTTCAATACGCTGTCCGGCGGCACGCCGGCGGCGGCTGGCGCGACCGCCCCCGCCCCGGCCGCCGCCGCGCCGGCAGCGGCCGCCGCCCCTGCCGGCACGGCTCCCGCTGCCGCAACTGGCGGTCCCGCTGGCGCGAATCCGATGGGCAGCTGGCAGGACTTCATGAACATGGGCATCCACACGGGCATCGCCTATGCCGGCGCGGGCGCCGACACGGCGACCGAGTGGGGCAACGGCAAGGGCGACGGCGCCGCGACGGCCAACAAGTTCGGCGCGCTCAGCCAGACAACGGGCAACAACTTCAACACGCTGTCTGGCGGCACGCCGGCGGCGCCGACGACGACGCCAGCTGCGGCGGCGGCTCCGGCCGAGAAGTCTGCCGAGGCGCCGGCGACGGAGGGCGTCAAGCCGCGCGGCGGCTGGATGCCGTTTGCGCAGCAGGGCGCCGCGACCGGCGCCGGCTTCGGCGCGCAAGGCATGGACACGGCCTTCCGCTTCTTCACGGACCCGAATTTCGACTTCCAAAAGGAGGGCCAGGCGTACCAGGCGTCGGGCGCGGCCACGGGCAACGCGTTCGGCGGCCTCTCGCAGGGCATGCTGCCGCAGCAGCAGCAGGCGGCGGCGGCGGCGGCGCCCGAGGCGGCGGCGGCGGCACCGGCTGAGAAGTCTGCCGAGGCGCCGGCGACGGAGGGCGTCAAGCCGCGCGGCGGCTGGATGCCGTTTGCGCAGCAGGGCGCCGCGACCGGCGCCGGCTTCGGCGCGCAAGGCATGGACACGGCCTTCCGCTTCTTCACGGACCCGAACTTCGACTTCCAGAAGGAGGGCCAGGCGTACCAGGCGTCTGGCGCGGCCACGGGCAACGCGTTCGGCGGCCTCTCGCAGGGCATGCTGCCGCAGCAGCAGGCGGCGGCGGCGGCGGCGGCGGCGCCCGAGGCGGCGGCGGCGGCACCGGCTGAGAAGTCTGCCGAGGCGCCGGCGACGGAGGGCGCCAAGCCGCGCGGCGGCTGGATGCCGTTTGCGCAGCAGGGCGCCGCGACCGGCGCCGGCTTCGGCGCGCAAGGCATGGACACGGCCTTCCGCTTCTTCACGGACCCGAATTTCGACTTCCAGAAGGAGGGCCAGGCGTACCAGGCGTCTGGCGCGGCCACGGGCAACGCGTTCGGCGGCTTGTCGCAGGGCATGCTGCCGCAGCAGCAGCAGGCGGCGGCGGCGGCGGCGGCGCCCGAGGCTGCGGCGGCGCCGACTGAGAAGGCGGGCTGGCAGAGTTTCGCGCAGCAGGGCGCTTCGACCGGCGGTGGCTTCATGCAGCAGGGCGCCGGCACCGCCTCGGCCTTCATGACGGACCCGAACTTCGACTTCCAAAAGGAGGGCGAGGCGTACCAGGAGTCCGGCAAGGCGACGCAGGACAAGTTTGGCGCGATTGGCCAAGAGGAGGCCGGCGAGGGAGAGGCTGTGGAGGAGGCGGCCGCCGACGAAGCCGCCCCGGCGGCTCTGCGCGCCGCGCCGCGCCCGACCGCCAAGCAGGGCTACTCTTTCGGTGCAATCGGCCTGGTCGCTCTGTTCGCTGTGGGCGCGGCTGTCGTCGGCGCCATCCGCGCGCGCGCGCGCAGCGGGCCGCAGTACGTGCGTCAGACCAACCCGGACGAGCTGGTCTAGACACGACTTGCGGCGAGGCGCGTGGGCTCTCTCAAAGCATGTCGGTCGCAGCCATGATGTCGATTTAGCTGGCGCTCAAGGCTCTCGGTTTCAGATGAGGGGCTCGAGAGCGCGCTCTCGAGAGGTCACGGAATGAGACGAGGGTTGGGACGGAGGGCGGCAGATTTCAACTGCTGATGAATCCACTAGACTGTGTCACGCTTCGGGGACTGGCCACCTTTGTCTGCTGTTCTCATATGCATGGGCGCGATACCCCAGCGCGTGCTGAGGTGTGAGGAGGCTGTGGGGGCACGGGCGAGGTGTCACGGTGGGGATATACACACATGCATGCCGTTACACAGAAAAAGGGGCCGTAAGGGGAACTTTCGAGAACTTTACACCTCGTTCGCGACCGCGTTGACCGCGGTTGAGCGTCGACCGTCGTCCGTCCGAGCGCGGGCGCCGCGCCGCCGGCGCCGCCGGCGGGGAGGAGCGGGGATGCTATAGTGCTTGAGAAGACACCACACACCACAAACGCGGCACGGCCCGTTTTGGCTCTGTCTGTGGAAATTCTGTCTTAGCACACACAGTGAGTCATTCGGAGTCATTCGATGGCCAGAGTGCGGCGATTGTGTTTGTGCGGGAGTTGGCTAGGGAGTTGGTTTGTCGGGAGGGAGGGGCAGGCTGCTCACCCACGTGCACCGGGCCAGCGCTTGCACTTTGAATGCCGTGGGGCTCCCGCCCGTGTCCGCGTGTGGAGATGCGAGGGTCGCCCCCCCTTGCCCCACCACTTTGTGTGTGTGTAGAAATTTACCTTACCTTACCTAGGAGCGGGGAACTGGGCACTGGGGGGCCGGCCCCCGCGGGGCCGCGCGCGCGGCATAATGGCGCCATTCTTTGTGGCGGCTTGTGCGTTGTGGACGGACTGTGATGATCTGTGTGCTTACCTTGGAGTGCAGTTGTATCTTGGTAAAACCTCATCTCCAGACGCAGAGCGCAGAGGGCCGGGGAGCTCGCGATTCGATTGCGTGCGTGCGAGGTGCTTAGTCTTGAGGACCTTTTGCGCCCCTTTTGACAACTTTTAATTTGTTTCTTTAACCCTAGTAGTTGCATAGTGTCGCTGTTTTCGAAAGGCGCTGACGGCCCGGCGCGTACCGCGCGACGCCCGGGCTACCCACCAGTAACCCTTCAAAATGACGCTGTTGTGACGTCTGTTGTCTTTTTCCGCTACGCCTGAGGGCGGAGGTATTTTTTCGCGCTCCGACCTGTGAGAGGATGGCTCGATTTCTGCAGAGGGAAGGCGCGCTTAAATTCTTTTTCAACGCGCTTAAATTCTTTTTCGCACTAGTCCCGTGCCTAGTAAAGAAAGAAAGAAAGCAGACAACCCAAGGGAGGGATGGGAGGACGGCACGCCGCCACCACACAGGGATTTTAAGGAGAGGAGTGTGGTGCTAGCCGTCGCCCACCCTAACCCTTGGTCGTCTGCCTCTTTCTATCTGCTCCCTTTTCGCAGTCCCTCGCCGATTCTCGCTGCAACCTTCATGCCACCTCGCGGTCGTCCCACTCTCGTCGTTCTCCCTCCTGCCGCTTCCTCCTCTGTCGCGTCGCTCTCGTCTGCCTCGTCCTGCGACGCCGCCGCCGCCTGCCGATCCCTTGCTCTCGCGGCTTCTCCCGCCTTTCGGCGCAACTCTGCCCTCCTCGGCGCTCGGGGCATATTTTGGCCCCTCGGAGTTTATCGAGCTCTCCTCGCGCAAGGACGACTCTTCTGACGCCCACTGCGATCATTTGCCGCCAAGTCATATCGTTGCTCAAGTCCACTCTCTCTTCGAACACTTGTACGATGTACCTCCACCGATGATGTTGGCGCTGGGGTCCCCTTCGGGTGCATCGTGACAGCTGACGACGGGATTACCACTGGTGTTTCGTCCTCCTCGGAGTCGTCTTCCCCGGCTTCCTCCATGCCGTGAACAGGCGCTTTATCCATCCTATATTCTTCTCTCTCTCCCCCGCCCGTGCCTTGGTGCCTTGTCGTGCGAGGCACGCCGCGAAATTCTTTTTCGCCTTGTTGCTGGTTCGCTCCTGTGTCGAGCCTGTCTGCTGTGAGAGTTTTTTGTTTACATTCTTTTTCGCACGACACTGCTGGCAAAATTCTTTTTCGCATTGGGGCTGGCGGGGCCCGGGGGCCGACGCTCCTCCGACGCGCTCTCGAGCCCCCGCCCCAGACCTCAGCGGCTGCGCCGGGTCGTCGTCGGCGCGCGGGCCGCCCAAGGACGCCGCCGAGCGCGAGGCCGCCTCGACGCCCGTGCGCAAACGAGAGAGCCGTTCGCTGGCGGGCGCCGTGCGACACACCGCCCTCTCTGACGTAGCCGCCGCGTCTCGACTCGGTGATATGGCGCCCGCCGCGAGCCCGCCCGCCACGCTGCTCGCCGACATCGCCGCCGGCCACCTCGCCTCGCTGCACGCCCACCTCTCCGGCCGGCGGACGCGCGGCAGTCTCAACGCGCGGCTCGACACGGAGAAGCAGGACACGCTGCTGACCTGGGCGGCTCGTCACGGGCAGGCCGAGGCGGCGCGGCTGCTGCTTGGGGCCGGCGCGAGCGTCGGGGCGACGACGGGCGGCGGCGGTGGTAGCAGCGGCGGCGCGTCGGCGCTGCTCATCGCGTGCTCGGAAGGCCACCCCGAGGTCGCCCGGCTGCTCCTCGAGGCCAGCGCAGCGGTCAACCAAGCCCGTGACGATGGCGTCACGCCGCTCTTCATGGCGTGCCGGATGGGCCACCTCGACGTCGCCCGGCTGCTTCTCGAGGCCAGCGCGGCGATCGACCAAGCCGACGAGCAAGGCGTCACGCCGCTGTACATCGCGTGCAGGAACGGCCACCTCGACGTCGCCCGGCTGCTCCTCGAGGCCAGCGCGGCGGTCGACCAAGCCCCGGAAAATGGCGTCACTCCGCTGATCATTGCGTGCCGGAAGGGCCACGTCGACATCATCCGGCTGCTTCTCGAGGCAAGCGCGGCGGTCAACCAAGCCGCGGCTGGCGGCTTCATGCCGCTGCTCATCGCGTGCCAGCAGGGCCACGTCGAGTGCGTCCGGCTGCTTCTCGAGGCGGGCGCGGCGATCAACCAAGCGATGAATGGCTGCTCCACGCCGCTGCTCGCCGCGTGCCACAACGGCCACCTCGAGATCGCCCGGCTGCTCCTCGAGGCCGGCGCAGCGATAAGCCAAGCCCGCGACAACGGCCAAGCCGCAGCGGCCGGCTTCACGCCGCTGCTCATGGCGTGCCACTTCGGCCACCTCGAGGTCGCCAAGCTCCTCTCCTCCTACGGCGCCTCCCGCGCCGCTACGCCATTCGGCACGCCCGAGAAGCTTGCAACCCGCCGCGGCCACGCCGACCTCGCCGCCTGGCTGGTCGCCAGCCGCGGCTGGACGCCGCTCGCGCACCTTGAGAGCCTCACCGCCGCCCGCGCTCTCTCCCTGCTGCGCAACGGCGCGAGCCTGCACGAGGGCGAGCCGACGCCGCTGCAGCGCGCCGCGGGCGGTGAGGGCGAGGCGGCGGCGCTGATCCGGCGGGCGGCGGCGCCGTGGTCGCCGGCAAGCCACTCGCTCTTCCCCGCGCCGGCGCGCGAGTGCGCGGTAATGGTCATGCGCATCGGCTACCAGATCGCGTTCTCTCCGCCCGACGACGCCGAGGCGCGCCCGGACCGGAGCGCGCTGTCCGACGTGTGGCGCGAGCACGTGCTGCCGCACGCGGTGGCGCGCTGAGGCCGAGTGAGGACGCGAGTGCCAAGCAGGGGAAGGGTCAGAGTGCACTGCAGAGGTGAATTATGTGGATGGTGCCACCGACGACGCCAGGGGCAGCTCGAATGCGCCAAGAGGAGAGGGGTGGGCAGTGGCGGGGGACTGATATCATGTGATCGGAAGTGCGGCCCGTGCTGCGCACCCGCCGGGATTTTTCTTGCGGAGGGAGTGCGTTGTGTTCTTGTGTTGTGTACGGCTTTATACAGATACACACACACACACATTTACCCCTCGAGCGCCCCGATCGCCTCCGTCACCGCGGCCACGAGCCGCGACGCCTCCCCCTTGCTGCGCGGCCCGTCCCTCCTCCACCTCTCCGCGTCGTGGTGCCTCGCCGCGTTCGCCCAGATGCGCAGCGAGTGCAGCTGGCTCCGCAGATCGGTAGGCAGGCCGCACTCGCGGTGCCAATAGTTGATGACCTCCTCGAAGCCGTCGGGCGCCGCCGCAGAGCGCGCGGCGTAAATAGCGTGGAGGCGCGGCATCAGCGTGTTGAAGGCGAGCAGCATGTTGCCCTGGATGCGCGCCTGCGCGTCGCCGCCCGTGCGCATGCCGCGCACCTGCACCGAGAGCGGCGAAGGCTCGTACCCGGTGGCACGGGCGGCTGCCGCAGCGGCCTCGTCTCCAGGAGCCGGCGCAGCCTCCTCCACCCCCGCCCCGGCCTGCGCGCCAGACAGCAGCGCCCGGAGCGTCAGCAGCGCCTCGGGCAGCGTGGGCCGCTTGCGCAAGCTGTTGTGGCAGAGGCTCTTCTGCCCGTCCCCCGCCTGCGCGAGGTCCTTTACTGCGCGCGCCGCGTCGACTGGCCAGCCCGCAGCCACGTCGGCGAGCTTCGCCGCGTCGATGTCGGTCCAGTCCTCCTCGAACTCGTCCTCGCACCGGTCGGTGAGCTGCACCTCGGACCGGTTGGTGAGGCAGACGAGGAGGGTGATGCCGATGGCGTAGCCGTCCGTCTTGCTCGAGTACTCGCCCCCCTTGGAGATGGAGGGGCAGAGGTAGCCCGTGGACATGTAGAGGGCGGTCGAGCGACAGCGGACAGAGGCGTCGGGACGCTGGTCCTTGGCGAAGCCCGTGTCTGCGAGCACGGCGGCCAGCTTCTCGTCGAGCAGGATGTTGTCCGGCTTGACGTCGCGGTGCACGATGCCCTTTGAGTGGAGGTAGACGAGCGCCTCGGTCGCCTCGCACGCGACACGCACGCGCTGCTGCCACGTCAGCGGCCTTGGCGGCTCTACCATCCCCAGCCGCCGGAGCTGCGCCGCCCGGTCGGGCTCCGAGATACGCAGCCGCGCCTCGAGCGAGCCGCCGCGCATCAGCGGCGAGAGGAGGCAGACGCCGTCGGGCGAGAGGCAGTAGCCGAGCAGCGGCAGCAGGTGCGGGTGGCTCACCGCCTTGAGAAGCTTCACCTCGAGCTCCGCCCGCGACAAGCCGCCGGACTGGCCCGACTTTGCCCGCTTGACGACGAGCGGCAAGTGGCGCAGCTGCGGAGGCGCGGCGAGGGAGAGGTGGAGGTCGGCCGACGCCTCGTAGACGCGGCTGAATCCGCCGTTGCCAATCAGCTTGCCCTCTGCAAACCCGTCCGTCGCCGCGGTGAGGTCCGACAGGGCTAGCTCGACGGGCCGAGCAACAGCCGCCTCCTCCGCCGACAGAGTTTCCAGCTTCGACTCCGCCGCGCTCACCTCCTCGGCCAAAGCAGGCAGCGCGCCCACGTGCGGCCTGGCGGCAGCGATGCCCGCTCGGAGCGCGGAGGGGCTGTCCGCTGTGTCGAGCGACTTGAGCGCGCCCATCGCCGCGCCATGCGCCTTGCGCAACCGCTGGCTCTCCCTCTTCCGCGCCTCCTTGAGCTTGTCGCACGCGCGCCTCGCCGCCGCCAGCACGGCCGGGCTCGCGAGGCCGCTGCACGCCTCCAGCGCGCTGGCCACGCCCTCGTACGAGCCAGCGGCCACGGCCTGCTGCAGCGCCTCGTCCGCCGCGGCGATGGCGGCTGCGTCGGCGGGCGGAGGAGATGGGGCTGGCGGTGGGGTTGGCGGCGCCAGAGCGGCGGTGGCGCTGGGGCCAGGCGCCGCGTTGTCTGCCTCGCCGCCGCCGCTCTTCTTCTTCTTCTTCTTGCCCTTCTTGCTGGCGCGCTCCCCCTTCTCCGCCTCCTCCTCCGCCAGCAGCGCCTCGGCATGCCGCGCCGCCTCCGCCTCTGCCGCCGCTCGCTCCGCCTCCCTCGCCTCCGCCGCCTCCACCGCCTCCGCCGCCGCATGCTCCTCGATGGCGCGCACGCACTCGGCGTGGCCCTTCTCCTTGGCCATCTGCAGCGCCGTCTCGCCGGTCGGAGCGCGCGCCGCCGCGTCTGCGCCCGCCCGCAACAACCGCCGCACGACGGCGGAGTGGTTGAAGAGGGCGGCGATCATCAGCGCGGTCCAGCCTTCGCTGTTCTGCAGGTTGACTTCAGCGCCGTGCCGTATCAGCAAGTCGACGACCCGCTCGTGGCCGTTGTTGGCAGCGTCTATCAGCGCGGCGAGGCCGTCGCTGTCCTGCAAGTTGACCTCCGCGCCGTGCCGCAGCAGCAGCTCGACCACCCGCTCGTGGCCGTAGCGGGCGGCGCTCATCAGCAGCGTGAGGTCGCTCGCCTCGCCTCTCTCGTACGTCGCGTCGACCCGCCCGCCGCCGTCGAGCCACGCCAGCACCGCCGCCTCCTCGCCACGCTCCGCTGCTGCCACGACCTCGTCGGAGACTTCCACGATACCGCTCGACGCCCGCCCCGCCGCCACCGCTGGAGATGGCGTCTTCGCGACTCTCGATCCGGCCGAAGAAGCGCCGCCGGAGGAAGCGCCGCCTGCGCCTGCGCCGCCGGCTGCCGTCGCCGTGGGCCGTCCCGCCAGCATATCCTGGACGTGCTTCTTGAAGGCCTCGACGCACTCGGCGTGGCCCTTCTCCTTGGCCATCTGCAGCGCTGTCTTGCCGTTCACATTGCGCGCCGCCGTGTTAGCGCCCGCCCGCAGCAAGCGCCGCACGACGGCGGGGTGGTCGAAGAAGGCGGCGATCATCAGCGCGGTGCAGCCGCCGCTATCCTGCAGGTTGACATCAGCGCCGCGCTGCAGCAGCAGCTCGACCACCCGCTCGTCGCCTAGGTGGGCGGCGGCCATCAGCGCGGTGCCGCCGTCGCTCCTCTGCAGGTTGACCTCAGCCCCACGCCGTATCAGCAAGTCGACCACCCGCTCGTGGCCGTTGCCGGCGGCGTCCATCAGCGCGGTGACGCCTTCGCTGCTCTGCAGGTTGATCTCCGCGCCGCGCTGCAGCAGCAGCTCGACCACCCGCTCGTGGCCGTGGAAGGCAGCGCCGATCAGCAGTGTGAGGCCGCTCACCTCGCCTCTCTCGTACGTCGCGTCGGCCCGCCCGCCGTCCTCGAGCCACGCCAGCACCGCCTCCTCCTCGCCTCGCTTAGCCGCTGTCACAACCGCGTTGGGGGCTGCCGCGGCACCGCCTGACACCGGCCCGCCGAGCATGACCTCGCTGGCCGAGCGTGCACACCCGAACGCAGATTTCTTTTCTACGTTAGAGGATCGGAGATGATGAAGGTGAAAGAAGAAACCACAGCTTTCGGCCTTTGCGCAAGACTAGGAGATGTGTGTGTATATGGCTTCCCACCGCATCGGCGCGCGCGTCGCGGGCCTCTCGCCAGCGCAGCTGTGCGCCATCATCGAGGCGCAGGCGGGCGCGAGCGACGCCGCGCTGCGCGTGGCGGAGGAGCACGCCGCACGGCTCGTGGAGCAGCCCGAGTCGGTCCTCTCCGTCCTCCTCTCGCCGGACCTCGCCCCGCACATCCTCGCCCAGCTGCCGACCAAGGAGCACGCCGTCAAGGGGACGTGCCGCGCGTGGCGCCACGGCTGGAAGGAGACGCTGAAGAAGCGCGAGAGGCCGCGCCTGCTCGTGATCGGCGGCCGCAGCGGCGATGGCGAGTTCCTCAACTCGCTGGAGCGGTACGACCCGTCAACGAATGCGTGGGAGGAGGAGGCTGTGGCGCCGATGCCGACGGCACGACTGTATGTCGTCACTGCGGTTCTCGATGGCAAGCTGTACGTGGCGGGCGGCGTGAGTGAGGCTGATGGCGAGGATGAGGATGGCGAGGATGAGGGCGACGGCGCAACTTCCAACCTGGTAGAGCGGTACGACCCGGCTACGAAAGCATGGGAAGCGGTGGCGCCGATGGCGGTCGAGCGGTTTCTTCACGCCGTGGCGGTGCTCGACGGGAAGGCCTATGCTGTTGGAGGCTTCAACGTCGTCGACGAGGACGGCGACGACGGCCAATTCCTCAGCTCGGTGGAGCGGTACGACCCGGCGACGGACACGTGGGAGGCGGTGGCCCCGATGGCGGCGGAGCGGAACGACCATGGCGTGGCGGTGCTCGACGACAGGCTGTACGCTGTGGGAGGCGGCCTCGGCGACGGCATCGTCAGCTCGGTGGAGCGGTACGACCCGGCGTTGGATGCGTGGGAGGCGGCGGCGCCGATGGCAGAGGCGCGGGCTGAACACGCCGTGGCGGTGCTCGACGGCAAGCTCTATGTCGCAGGCGGATTGGGTGCCGGCTACAACCACCTCAGCTCAGTCGAGCGGTACGACCCGGCGTTGGATGCGTGGGAGGCGGTGGCGCCGATGGCGGAGGCGCGGGCAGCTGCCGCCGTGGCGGTGCTTGACGGCAAGCTGTATGTCGCAGGCGGATCGGATGCCGGCCACACCCGCCACAGCTCGGTGGAGCGGTACGACCCTGCGTTGGATGCGTGGGAGGCGGTGGCCCCGATGGCGGCGGCGCGGATGAAGGCTTTCGCTGTCTTGATGTAGTCGCCGTTGTGTGCGTGCTAGCCCCACGGAGAGTGGAATGTGCTGAAGTCCCTCGCCTGAGTGTGCTGCGCGGTGCGCGTGCGTGCCCCCGCCGCTTAATACGTCGAGCGTTTCATCTTGTAGAGTGAACAGGCCGGGGTTTTAGCGCCCAGCGCAGACCGACCGACCGCAGGGGGGGGGGTAAGGGGGGGGGTCCGGTCGGCGGCCGCGCGGAAGTGACCGCAGACCGGACTGCGGACAAAAGAATTTTGATATCCGACAAGCCAAAAAAACATTAATTTAACGACGAGGGCGCTCTCAAAAAAACCGCGCAACCAGCGGTGTCTGTCAACGGTGTCTGTCCAATTGCGTTTACTTCATGCGAAGGTGCTGCTCACCACACGCGCGGCTCCATCGCGTTCACCCACGATGCTACCCGCGGCCACGCGCCTTGCCGCCCTCTGCGTGTATGCCCGCGGCGCGCAGCCGCTGCGCAAACTCGGCTCGCAGCGCCTCGTACAGCGCAATGTCGGGCGCCAGCAGCCGGCGGAGGGTTTCGTCGGTCTCTGGCGTCGGGAGGTCCTCGCGCAGAGGGACGAAACCGCCGCACGGGTTGACGCGCCTGTTCACACCCATTTCTGTGAAGACAAGGGCCGTTCACGGCGTTGCGGGCGACAAGGGGCTGGCTCGCCTGTTCACGGCCAGCCGTGTGAATGAAGAAACGCCGTGGTCGCAGGCAGCTGCACTGCGGAGTTGACGCGCCTCCCCACCGCCTTGCGCATGGCGCGAACGTCGGCGGGGCGGGCGCCTGTAGAAACACAAACCACGGTCCTGCCTGATAAAATGAGAAATCAATCGCGAACGCCGGCGGGACGGGCGCCTGTGTGGAAAAAAGAACACGTCGCCCGCAGAGCTAAAACCAGAAGACGAGGGCGGGACGGGCGCCTGTGGCGTGGGCGAGCAGGGCAAGCGAACTCCAAATGTCCTCGGCGAAGCCAATCACGTCGAAGGTCCGCGCCGCCTCCGTCACCTCACACAGCAGCACCGCCTCGGCCGCGGTCGTGTTGACCCCTCCCAAATCTCTCGGGAGACCTCCCTCGCCGCACAGCGGGTCGCCGCACGTACCCGAGCGGCCGGCGAGCAGTGGCAGGACGGCACGTGGCGCATAACAAAATCTCTCTGTGTGTCAGGGATAGTCAGGGCCGTCCATCAGAGCTCCAGTAAGCTCGGAGACACCCCATTAGTGCGACTCGACCTCTTTGAGTCACTGCCTTCCCGGCGGTTTGCGTGCCGTGCGGGACTCGCGCAGCTTGCAGTGCAGGCGCCCATCCGGCACGATGCCGTTCTTGCCGCGCGTGCCAGCTGTGCCGTTGAGCGTGACCGGCGGGATGACGGCGCTGAAGATCTCGCGCGTCTCCTCTCTGCCGCGCAGCCCCGCGTGCAGCGCATCACGGATCACGCGTGAGAAGATGTCATCGTGGCAGTTGCCGTGGGCGCGGTCGTTGAGCGTCGCCAAGCCCAGCTGGACGCCAAAGGCATCGCAGACTCGAGGAGGGCCGCGGCCGGAGCAGGCGATGCTCTTGCCAGCAAGCGCGCGCACGGCTGGGCTCTCCCGGCCGAGGTAGGTGCAGAAGATCTCGCGGAACTCGCGCGCCTCGCACCGGTTCTGAGCCGAGGGCCATGAGCTCACCCACGCGGACGAGAACGAGTCGACGGCCAGCCACGCCTCCCGCCGCGTGTCGCCGTGCGGCAGCCCGAGGATGCTGCGGCTAAGCTGGTTGCGCTTGACCTGCTCCCGCTGCTGCGTCAGCTGCCGCTGTAGCCCAGCGCTGCCGGCCCGCCCTTTGCCAGCCTCGGGAGCCCGGAGATCGAGAGGCCCCGCGACGCCCTCGCCGCGGACCTCGCGCTGCATGCCCTACCACGCCGTCTCGTTGAAGGAGTCGCCCGTCGGCGTCAGCTGCCCCAGCTGCGCGCCGAGCGGGTTGACGTAGGTGGTGCAGCCCGAGAGGAAGCGCGAGAGGCGAGGGCTGTTCGGGTACGGCAACTCGAAGGCGCCGTGGCCGAAGAGCGGAGCGAGCATCTGGAAGAAGCCGGGCGTCGACCTGTCGAGGAACCTCTCGGCCGCCTCGACAAAGCAGGCGCAGAACGCAGCCGGCGCCACCTCCTCGAGCGAGCGCAGGCCGAGGCCGCGCATCCGCGCAGGCAGGCGAGCCCGCCGCGCGGTGATGGCGTCGCCAAGCGCGCCCTAAAAGCCAAAAAAAGAAAACGCGCCCCCAGCTGGAGTGCCTTGTCCTGGAGTCGGCGGAGTGCCTTGTCCATTGCTGCTTTTGCTTCTCACGGGAGAAGGCGTCCTTCACGCCGACTCACGAGTAGCGCGGACAATGACGGCGCTCTCTGAGTTCATCAGCTTTTGCTACCGCGTCTTCGTCGCGTGCGTCGAACTCACCATCGACGCGCTCGTTCTGCCCTTCTTCCTCGCGGCGCTCCTCATGCCGTGGCGGATGCCATTCCTCGTCTACGGGCTGTGCACAAAGGGTTGGCCAGTTTCTCCCGATGACTTTGAAGGTTGCTCATCGCGCGAGAACTATCGCATTACCGCCGTCGGCCAGTTTTTCACCGGCCTCATTGAGGGTCTCACCCTCACGATCACGCCCATCGTGGCACTGAGCGGCTTGCGAACCGCAAAGCTTCTCGAGCGGATCAAGAAGCACATGCGCAACGACATGGACATGGACTTCATGTCCAATTTCCCCCTGCTGGTGGCGGTCTGGGAGCAGCTCTACAAGCTCGTCCTCGACTTGCTGCCCTTTGGTTGCCTCGTGCTCGCCTTTTCGATGCCGTGGCGCTGGCCGTACCTCGCACGCGGCCTCTCGAGGCATGGTGCTGGCTGGCTCTTCCAGACCATCTGCCCGTGCTGCGTGCCCAAGAGCAAGCGCAAAAAGGAGGGCGAGGTCCGCTGCTTGTGGATCGGCCAGGCCATCTTTGGCGTCTGCGACCTCGTCACCGCCATGCCTCTCGCCCTCGTGCTCCTGAGCGGCTTGCGCACTCGCAAGCTGCTAACGAAGTTGCGCAGCAAGGAGGTACGCGATGACTACGATGAGGACGTCGAGTATAATTGGAAGGCGCGTGGCCTCGTGTGGAAGCAGTGCGGCTCGCTGTGCGTCGACTTGGTCTTCGTGCCGCTCGCGCTCGTCGTCCTTCTCTCTGGCTGGCGCTCAATCTCGCTGCTGACCCTCATGCGGGACAAGGAGCTGAAGGGGATGAGGAAGCGTGGCAAGGCCATCCGTCTCTTCTTCCACACCCTCCTTGACGTGCCCTTCATCCTCGCCGCTCTCGTGCCCGCCCTCACACCATGGCGCACCCGCGCCCTCTGGACTGCCCTCAAGCTGTGGGACCGCAAGGGCAGCGGGGCCAAAGACAGGCGTCAGGCCGCGTGTGAGCAGCTTGTCGAGACCCTCAAGGATTGGGCGCATCTGCCGCCCGCCGCGCTCGTGCTGTCCACGTGGTGGCGCGCGCGGGACCGTGCTCAAGCTCGGCAGCACCACGCCGCCCACGGCGGCGCAGCGGCGGGCCGACGTGCGCTCGCATTGCCACGAGACGATGCTCGACCATCCTCACGTCCTCTTTGGCAGCCTCGTCCTCCTCTTCTGCCCGTGGCGCGCACGCATGCTCTGGCGGGCCGCAAAGCCGTGGCCCGGCGCCACACGAGACGCGGCAGCAGCGGCGGACGCGGATGGCAGCACAGTCGCCGCCGTCGCCGCGCCACCGGCTCCTCCAGACGTGAGCGCCGCCGCCGCCGTCGTCATCACAGCCGATGAGCGTCGCTCCGCGGCACGCGAGCAGTTTGGGCGCTTTCTGCTCGATGTGCCCTGTGGCGCGATGGCGGCCGCGGTGCTCCTCAGCGTGTGGCGTGCGCCGCTGCTGTGGCGCGAGCTCAAGCTTGGTGCCAGGGCGGCGGAGGCCCCGAGCGCACATGCACGCTGGGAGTTAAGTGCGTGGCACTTTTGCTGCCTGCTTCGCGACGTGCCCTTTCTGCTACTCGCTCCATTCACCTGCTATCGGCTGCCACGCGTTGGCTTTAAGATCATCGCCGCATGCAAGCGCCCCATCGAAGGCGTGCCGCCGCTCACGATCACAGGCGCGCGCGCTGCACGCGATGAGCATGGCCGCGTGTGCCTCTGTCTCGCCGCGAACAAGCCGGCCGATCTCGTGGCGACGCAGTTGCGTCTGACTGCTGGCGGCGCTGACTTCTGGCGTGATGTCGAGGAGAGCTACGGCAGCATGGCGAGTGTGGCAAAGACGATGCTGCCTGCTCGTGTCGTACCAAAGTACCTCACGCCCACGGGCCTCGACGCGAGCGGCCAGACCGCCGTCGAGCTCGTCTTCACCGCGTCGGGCGCTGCCAAGCCGCTGCAGAAGCTGCGCGATCAGGGCGACGCGCCGTTCCTGCTGCAGGGACAGACCGGGAGCGGGCGAGCGGCGCAGCTGCTCTTTGAGTTCGTCACGCGCCCATCGGCCATCGTTGGCGAGGTCCGCGTGACCCGCCCGGGCCAGCCTACAGCGGATGAAGAGGCGGTCGGCACCTGCGTCGACGAGCCCGGCTTTGGCCCCGCCACCTTGCAGCCGCTCGCCCTCGACTTGGAACGGCCAGCGCTCGAGGACGCGAAGCCGCTCCAAGACGTCGTGTGGATGGCCGTTGGGATTGAGCTCGTCGAGATGCTCGTCGACCTAGTCCGCATCATCGCCACCGTTGCACTGCTAGCTGCTCCTTGGCGCTTCTCCCGCCTCCTCGTCGTCACGTTCGAACCAGTCAAGCGCTGGCCGCAGCGTCGCACTGAGGAGCTCGATGCATTTCTGCTTGACGAGGCCAATCATGCCGACGAGAGCATCGGAGATCTGCATGCCGCCCTTTGCACCGCGGCACGCGGCACTGAGCTGGCCTTCCCCGCGCCCGAACACGGATGGCGGCGTGGGCGCGACCGTGAGCAGCCTCCGCCGTGGCGCGGGCCGCCGCTGCCCGTGTGCAAGCTATACGTCGGTCTCGCGAAGCCATCCACGCGCGAGAAGACCATCGCCAGGATTCGCAAGCTCGACGAGCCGCTTGGTGATCTGTGGGAGGCTCTCTTCGCGACGCATGCCACCCACCGCCTCTGCGTGATCCTTGAGGCGGAGATGCTTCGTGGCGTGCTCTTCCCGCCTCACTGGGCCGAGATGCAGTACGCCCTGCAGCGCCGCTTTGAGAGCGAGCAAGCGAGGGCGCGCCCACGGAGGAGGGGCCGCTTGGCGCCTGTCGTCGCACAGCCCGTGCCAAACGCCTTCAATGCGGCGGCACTGCTGCGGACGGTCGATGCGCTGCGTGAAAGCGTCGCGTCCGAGGCGGCGGGCATCCAGCAGCAGCTGCAACACGCGCGGGCGGAGCGGCGTGCTCAGCTGGCAAAGTGGAAGCCCGCCCCGTCGGCTGTGTTCAAGCGTTCCGCATCCAAGGGGCGGCAGCAGGTGACCACTCTCTGCAAGGGCGCTCTCTTTGACTGGCTGTCGTTACTGGGGATGGCGATCCTTCTCGCCACCGTCTATCGCGCGCCCGCGCTCGTCAGCTCGCTCCGCGGCGTGCGTTGCTGGCGATCGGTGCACTGCCGCGTCGCGCGCCAGCTGCGCGAGGTCCCAGCGGACATGGTGATGCTGCTTCACCTGCTCGTCCTCTCTCTCGCCTTCTGGCAGACCCTCGAGATGTGGCTGCAATGGTCCGATCTGCTGCTCACGCGTGGCGACGTGCGAGCGGCGCGGGAGGCGCTCGCAAGACGCCGCAAGGACGTGCTCAGCGAGCTGTGTGAGAGGCTATGCATGCTGCTCTCGCCATTGGTCTTGTGGGACACGTACAAGTTTGTGCTTGCGACGCTCTGCTTCGGCATCCTCGTCCCCGTCCACCTCATTGGCAAGCTGCTCCATCTCACCCCGCGCCTGTGCTGCGGCGCTCGGCGCGATGCCAACACGGACCCTCGTCGCCTGCACTACTGGCTGGCGGCCGTCCTTTGGGCGGGAATGCTCGCCTTCCCATTCGTCCTCGTCTGGCACCTCGCACCTGCCGCCCTGACGCCGCTTGCGCTCAATACCACCAACGCCACTGTGCCGCCCGCTCTTCCGCCTGCGCCGCTACCGCCGCGCACCCCGCTCGTGCTCACCGAGTCGGGCGCGCTGGCGCTACCTATCGCAACGGGCGGCTACCTCGGTTGTGTCCTCCTCCTCGGCCTCCTCTCGAGTGCACTCGCCGTCTCCTCGGCAGGCCTGCTGCAGAAGGCCGCGCCACGCCGCGTGCTGCGCTGGACAGCGGCCAACGGCTTTGCGCTCCTTCAGGTCTTCATCGAGTGTGCCCAGCTCGCCGCGCTGCCCTTCCTCGCCCTGCACGCGGCGGGCGGCCTCGCGAGTGGCGCCGACGCTGACGAGCTACGACGCACGACTGGCGTCTTCTACGCCCTGCGTCGCGTGGCGGACACAGTGCTCCTCTGGCAGGAAATGACCACCCCTGCCCTGACTGCGCTCGTCCTCACCGCCTTTGGCGCCCTCTGCGTATGGTTCCTCCTCTTCTCACTGCCCGTGGTCGTTGATGACCTGCTGCGCTGGGAGAGCCGCCACGGCCGCATCCAGCACTCGAGGCTCTGGAAGATGGTCATGTTCCCGCTGCACACGACGCTTCAGATGACGGTCGTGATGCAGCTCATCAAGCCGCTCGGCTGCACCTACGCAGCAGGCGCACCCTCCCTTCTCTATGCTGACCGGACCATCGTCTGCTGGGACCTGGCAGAGCCTCTCCAGCCATACATGGCGCTCTGCGCGTGGCTAGGCCTCGCCTTCTACCTTCTGACCGCGCACCTCCTCTGGTGGGGCGATGGCGGGCTGCTCCGACAAGCACAGCTCAGCCCCACGCTTGACGTGCAATACTCCGAGCTCTACCTAATCGTTGGCAACGCCGTGCGAACCGCCGCCGCCATCGCCTACCTCTTCCTTCACGACCAGCCGATCGCGCTGCAGCTGGTGCTCTGTGGCCTCGCCCTCTTCCTTCTCGCCTGGACCCTCGGCTTCCGCCGCCTCTTCCGTGCACCCGCATGCGCCATTCGGGCCGTCACCGAGCTTCGCGCCGTTGGCGAGGCCATCGCGGCGTGGGCCGCGCTCAGCTGTGCCCTCGAGCTCCTTCTGTCGCAGCCAGCGCGCGTCGTGCGTCTTGGCTCGCAGCTGGCCATGTCCCTGCCAGAGCTCGTCTGCCTCGCTGGATGGATCGCCATCGCCCTCGTTGGGATCCTCGCCGTCGGATGCCGCAAGCTGTGCGCAGCGCGCGCGCGCCAAACGGACCTGTCCGCCCTGCGCGAATGTGCGCGGCTCTTGGTGGAGGTGGAGGCGTACTGGCAAGGGCAGGGCGGCGTGATGGGTGCATCGTGGGTCGGCCGAGCGGCGCGGTGGCGACGTTCGGCCGCGCATGCGCCGGACGTCGCGTCGCTCTGCCGGGCGGTGGTGGAGGTCGAGCAGCACGTGCGATCTGGCGTGCAGCTCCAGAGCTTCATGACAGGCCGCCGCGCCGCGTGGCAGCGTGAGATGGCCGATGGAGTGGCCGCGGTCGGTCGGCTCAACGAGCTCGTTGCGGAGCTGCGTGACAGCGTCGTGGTCGTCGGCAAGGTGGTGAATGCGGAGGAGAGCATCGATCGCTCAGAGGAGCAGACGGCCGCCCTGCGCTTGATCTGCCGCGACCTACCCGCTGGGCTACAAAGCCAGGCCAACTCGCTGCGCCTTCACTATGGCCACCTCTACGATCTTCTTCTCCGTGCGAGCGCGCACGCAGACTCGGTGGCATGCGGCGACGAGCATGCAGACGGCGTAGCGGCTGGCGTGACGCTACCGACCATGGTTGTCGCGGGCGCGGCAGGCTCCAGCGTGCAAGGTGCAGGCACTCCAGCCTCCGCCTTGGCGTCAGCCACTTCGGCGGCAGCCGCTCCGGCGACAGCGAACACCGCTCTGGCCACTCCCGCGCAGCAGTCTACTGAGGCAGATGCCAACGCCGTCAACTCCGCAGCCATTGTCTTGGCGGAGGGGGACACCACGATGGCGGCGGCTGAAGGCGTGGTGGTGGTGGGAATGTCGTCGGGTCTGCTCGACGAGCGCTTCGAGACGCTGTACAGCACGATGCGTGCGGCGCTGACCAACTTTGAGCGACTCGAGGCCGTGCGCGAGTTTACCCGCGGGTGCAGCCCGACACGCACAATCTTTGAAACGGGCCCCCCGCCTCGGCTGACGTGCGAGCAGCTCGGCCGACTGGCTGAGAGTGTCACTCTGAACAGTCGCCGAAAGGAGGTGCTCGTCGCGCTTCATCCGTACCTCTCCGATCGTCCCAGCTTCCACTCACTCGTCGAGGCCCAGCTCATCCTCCTCTGGGACCGAGAGGACGCGAGGCGGGAGGTGGCCGCGAATGAGAGGCGCGCGTGGCTGGAGTCCATTGGAGGAGACTGAGCCGTGAGTGTCTGAGTATACGCGTGTAACTATAAGCAGGCACCGACAATGTCGGTGACATTACAGTGGCGTTCTCAATAGCAAGGAAACGAAGTCTTATTCGATCCTATTCAAACGCACAGAGACTCCTCCGTCGAAAGTCTGTCGAGTGGCGGATGCGGCGACGCCCGGAGCGCGAGCCATCACCAGACACACCACGCACACGCGGCAGACTCCCAAATGCTCCAAATTCACAAGAGACAGAGGGGGTGCGCGACAAACCGCTAACCCGGCGTTGCCCCCGAGTTCATTTTACACGCGCAGGGCCTTTAGGGGCCTAGAGAACACACCGTTCTCCCCTTTCTCTCTCAGCGGCTCTCTATGAGCGCTGGGCCGCGCCCGCCGCCTTCCTTGCAGCGGCCGCCTTGGCCCTCGCAGCGGCCGCGCGCTTCGCCTTTGCGGCGGCCATCGCCGCCTCAGCTGCCGCCATGGCCGCCTCAGCTGCCGCAAGTGCCGCGGCCGCGGCTTCCTCCTCGGCCGCGGCTTCCTCCTCCTCCGCCTCTGCCTCCTCCTCCTCTTCTCAGCCTCCTCGGCCAAGCGCTCCGCCTCGACCATCTCAGCTAAAGCCGCTGCCTGGCTCTCCGCCGTGATGCCGAGCCGGATCCTCTCCTCGTGACAACTTTCGAGAAGCCTGATCAATCTCTCCTCCTCGGCCTTTTTTGCGGCCTCGGCTGCGGCTGCCTCCGACAGCACCTCTGCACCCTCTGGTGGCGCCTCTGCACCCTCCGCCGGCGCCTCCGCCTTCTTCTTCTTCTTGCCCTTCTTGCCCTTGGCGCGCTTCTCCGCCTCGACCTGCACCAGCAGCTCCTCGGCATGCCGCGCCGCCTCCGCCTCCGCCGCCGCCCGCTCCGCCGCCCTCTCCGCCGCCTCCGCATGCTCCTCGAAGGCGCGCACGCACTCGGCGCTGCCCTGCTCCTTGGCCATCTGCAGCGCCTTGTGTCCAGTCACCGTGCGCAGCTCCGTGTCTGCGCCCGCCCGCAGCAGGCAGAGTAACGCCGCGGGGTGGTCCCAGAGAGCGGCGAACATCAGCGCGGTGCCGCCGGCATTGTCCTGCTGGTTGATCTCCGCGCCGTGCTGCAGCAGCAGCTCGGCCACCCGCTCGTGGCCGTGGTTGGCGGCGAGCATCAGCGCGGTGCAGCCGTCGCTGTTCTGAAGGTCGATCAAAGCGCCACGCTGCAGCAACGTCGCGGCCAGCCGCTCGTGGCCGTAGATGGCGGCGTACATCAGCAGCGTAAAGCCGCTCGCACCCTTCGCAGTGAAAGTCACGTCCACCCGCCCGCCGCCGTCGAGCCACGCCAGCACCACCTCGCCGCCTTGCTTAGCCGCCTCCACGACCTCCTCGGGGACGGCGTCCTCGCCCGTTCCGCTTTCCACGCCGCCAGAAGAGGACGCGGCAGTTGGTGCTGCCGCTGCCCCCTTGCTCGAGGTGGCATCGCCGTCCACCCCTGCGCCACCCACCTCGCCGAACTCGTCGGGAACCGGCCCGCTGCTGCCGCCCTCGCCGCCCGAAGCGCTGCCTGCCCCCGCGCCGCCCGCCTCGACCGCCGCGTCGCGCCTCTCCGCCGCCACCTCGCCGAGAAACGTCTTGACGGCGGCGACGCACTCGGTGTGACCCTTCTCTTTGGCGATCTGCAGCGCAGCGCAGTGTGGCCGTCGCCGTCCTGCAGGTCGACCTCCGCTCCGTGCCGCAGAAGCAAGTCAACCAACCGCTCGCAGCCTTGGTCGGCGGCCAGCATCAGCGCGGTGCAGCCGACGCTGCTCTGAAGGTTGATCTCCGCCCCGTGCCGCAGCAGCGTCTCGGCCACCTGCATGTGGCCGTTGGTGGCGGCGGCAGTCAGCGCCGTAGTGCCGATGCTGTTTTGTGCGTCCACCTTCGCGCCGCGACTCAGCAGAAGTTCGACCAGCTGCTTGTGGCCGTTGGCGGCGGCGAGCATCAGTAGCGTCCAGCCACTCCAACCACCGCGCTCGCACGTCGCATCAACCAGCTTGTCCCCGGCGAGCCACGTCTGCACCACGCCCACACTGCCGTCCGCCGCCGCGGCTTGGATCGTTTTCGGCAGCGCGAGCGGCGCAGACTGTGACGCCGTCGAAGCGTATCCGCGCCGGGACGCGGCGGAGCCAGCTTTTGGTCGGCTCGTCGTTGAGACGCGTCGTTACGCGTCACGAAGTTTCATTTGGACCACCAAAACTCGCGTGCAGGTGCAGGTGCAACAAGTTTGCGCCCGGCCGGCCCTCTAGCGCCGCGCGCTGGCCCCGGCTGCGTCCCCGCGCGGCCTGCCCGATGGCGTGGTGCCCGCCCTCCACCCACATCCCCGCGCCAGGCAGCTCCGGGGCGACCCGGGCGCCCTCCGACCACACACTGCCTCCGTACTATCATTTAACAGTAGTCTATCAGCCCAGCCCGAGCGGGTCCCTCGCCGCCCGCGCCGCCCGCGTGCGCTGCCGCTTGGCGTTGGAGCGCTGCGTGCGCCACTCGGCGCTGCCGGCGTGCGCGTTGCAGTGCGCCGGCACCCTCGGCTCGCCGCCCCGCCAGTGGCGGCACGCGGACACGGGCGCGTCGCACGCGAAGCAGTAGCAGTTGGGGCAGGCCGCCTCGTTGCCATCGGCCGGCGCCGCGACCGGCCTCTCGGCCGCATGGAAGGGGTGGAGCGGGCAGAGCGCCCGCTGGTGTGGCAAGTGCTTGGGCAGCAGGCCTGTGCGGCGCAAGCAAGGAGGGGCAGTATGAGTGCATTTGACAGCAATCATGACGGGGGTGGCTTGGGAGCGCCTGATGCCGTGGAGATCTGCACGTCGCCGGCTGCGAGCGAAGCAGCGGCGGCGGCGGAGCTTTGAAGCGGCGGCGCCACCTCCTCCACCTCGTCCTCGCTCATCGCCTCTGCCTCCGCCTCCGCCTGCTCCACCTCCACCCCATCTCGCGCAGACGATCGGAGGAGCCGCGGGCAGTGGGAGCCCTGCGGCGGCGCGTCGAGCTGTGGGGCCTGGGCTACAGCGGTAACACGCTGTCGGACTCTGGGCTGCGTCGGCTGCGGCACCTCAGCCTCGCGCTTTGCCTCGGCTCGTTGACGCTGCCTGATACGCTGCCTGTCCTCCGTTCTCTCCCGATCTCTGTTGTCATCATTTGCCCGCCACCGTCGCATCTTCTCCGCGCTGCTCAACGGTTGGGGCCACACGGCCTTGAGCAGCGCATCCAGTGCCTCGTACACCTCCAGTCGGCTGGGCCGTTTCGGATGGCTCTCCGGGAGTGCGTCTAGGAACATGCATCGCTTGGCTTTGTAGCCTGGACGCCGGCCTGGCGTAGGAGCCTCTGTTTTGGCACGGATGGTGTCAAGGCAGCTGGCCATGTGCGACCGAAACGTCGTGTCTCCAGGGAGCAGACTAGCCAACGCCGACCGCACTCGTACAATGAGGCTTGTCGTAGCAGCCCTTCGCCGCGACCGCTGCCCCTTGCCGCTGCCCCGGCTCGGACGCCGCGAGTGCATCAGCTCGGCTGCGCACAGAGCGAAGAGGGGCGAGACTGGCGGAGGGCGCAAGGGGTGGCACAAGAAATCTCGTTAGACACATACCGGGTATGCTGATTTCTTCCTGCCGCCTGCGGTCGGTCGGTCGGTCCTAGGATTCGAGGTTTTTAGGGGGTAGGGTATGGTAGGGTCAGGGCCCTGGCACCGCGACCATACCCCCCCCACCCGCACACACGCATGCTCCACGCACGCGCAGCAAGCGAGACCGAGAGGCCGTGGAAAACGCTTAAAATGGCACAGATTTACGATTTTCCCTGGATTTTCCGCGCGCTGCGCGCGCCGAGCACGGCCACGGCGCCAAAAAAGTGCTTGCCGGAGTCCGTTTTCAGTGGACGGACCCGAAAAAATTTCTTCGCCCGCGCTGGCGCGCGGGCGGTCGGTCGGTCCCCTATGTGCCACGGTTTTTTTGCCGTGCACCCCTGTGGAGGGCGACAAGATTTTTCTTGTCCCCGGCTAAAACTCTTTTTCGGATTCCTTATGCGGCGCGAAGAGGGACCCTCTTTGGAGAGGTCGTGACAAGCTCTCTGCTCGATGAGAGAATCTGGCGAGTCTCTCGACGTCTCCGAGCCCACCCAGCAATCCGCCGAGTACAGGCCGTTGCGCCGCTCTCGAGGGCTTCACCAACCAGGCTTCTAGCCTGGTAAAATTCTAGCCTGGTTGAGACCCTTGAGTGATGCTTGATCTTATGTTGTATATGCTACAAACGGTGAGGTGTGAACACAGGTGTGAAAACGTACTCAGATAGGACATACGGCTTCAGAACTTGGTGATAACATAAAAGCTAGCTAGTGGAAGCTTTCCTATGAGTTGTGGGTGGTAGGAAGCAACCATTATAAAAGTCAATACTAGTTAATACTAGTTAATACTAGTCAATACGTGTGCGCCGGGACACTAGCTTGAGCAGCGTTTCGGGTAGGACCTAGGGTAGGACGTGGTGTCCAACTCTGCGTGCAAGATCCGCCGGCCCGGCCCGTGGCTCTCCTACGGGACTGTGTCTCGGACACGTCCCGGACACGGCTCGGACGTGTCCTGCACCGGACCTCCGCCCGCGGCTGGCTCTCCTCCTCGAGCCCGTCGAGCATGCCGGCGTGGTACGAGTCGACGAGCGGCGCCTGCTCACAGCCAGCCCGCCATGAAGAGGCGCCGCTCACAGCGCGCCGGCGTCGTGCGAATCGGCGGGCGGCGCCAGCACGCGCTGGACAGACCTCGCCAGCCAGCTGTTCCCGCTGCCGCCGCCCACCCCCCCCCCTCCCCCCCCGCCGGGCCCGCCAGCGAGGGCGGCCAGGTGCGCCAGGTCGGGCGCGGACTGTGTGGCAGCGCGCGCGACGAAGGGGGGGACGAGTCGAACTCGCGCGTGCCGATGGGCTGCTTGCGCGTCGCCTACGGGAGGGGAAGGAGGCGGGAGGGAGGGTCAGAGCACTAGTGGCCGAGGAGAGGGGCTGCTCTGCGGCCCGACGCCTCCTGGAGCAGCTTCTCCTCGCAGTACTCGCGAGCGCCTCGTCCACGGCGGAAAAGCGGCGCGCCTAGCCGTCGGCCAATCTCGGGGTGGATCTCGTGTCGATCTCGGGCCGATCTCGTGTCGATCTCGTGTCGATCTCGGGGCGATCTCGGGGCGATCTCGGGTCGATCTCGATCTTGGGCCGATCTCGGGTCGATCTCGGGCCGATCACGGGAGGGGGAGCCCCGCCTAAGCGCTAAGCGACGACTCCTCACCGGAGGGCTACGTTTGAAGCCTTCACAGATCACACTCCCCAAGGCGCAAGGGGTTGAGAAAGACATCTCATCTGCAAACAAGAAAAAATCGCTACACCCTATACTAGACCGGACGCGGAACCATCCACATCATCACTAGCTCGCGGCAGTAAGGACACTCTTGCATCAGCTCAGAGCATGGCCCGCACGCACACAAGTGCCCGCACGGAACCGCAGCATGCGACTTGCCTCTCGCGAAACACACGATACAAGTGGTCTCGCCCCCCATCGTGGACTCGGGGGCAGCTGGCCGCCCCGTGTCGAGGCCGGCGTCCGCTAGTGAGACGGCAGCAGACGGCTCGGCGACTGGCAGATGATGCTCCGCCGCCTCTCCCGCCTCTGGCTCGATCAAGCGCTCGATGGCGCCGACCCGCTCCTCGAGGCTACCCTCGGTCGCCGTGCCGAGGCTCGCCTCCAGCCGCTCGACACGCCGCGGCAAGTCCCCGCCGCCGCCGGTCGACTCGCTGCTCACCGCCTCCTCGCACCGCGACACCCGACGCGCCAGAGCCTCCTCCGCATCCACCTCTGACCGGCGCAGCGCCTCTGCCAGCTCCGCATCCTCGCGCAGCGCCGCCTGCTCCGCCGCACCCGCTAGCTCTGCCGCCTCCCGCTCCGCCCGCCTCGTCGACTCCTGCTCCGCAGCCAGCTGCGCCGCCCTCTCCTCCTGTGTGCGAAGCTCTGCCGCAGCCCGCGCCCTCCGCTCCTCCTCGAGCTTGAAGGCGGACTTGGCTTTCTTGGCCTCCTTGTTCTTCGCCTTGCCCTCCTTCCTTGCCGCCGTTGCCTCCGCCGCCTTTGCGCGCCACCTCGCCTTCTCCTCCTCCGCCCTCTTGTCCGCAGCCTCCTTGTCGCGCCGCTCCGCCTCTGCCTGAGCGGCCTTGCGCTCCGCCGCAGCCGCCCGCTGCTCCTCTCGCTGCGCCTCCTCCGCCGCAAGCCTCTCCGCCTCCCTCGCCCGCAGCGTCTCCTCTGCTGCAGCGCGCTCAGCGGCCAGCTTCGCCGTCGCCTCCGCCGCAATGGCTCGCCTCTGCTCCTCCAGCGCCGCCGCATCCGCTGCCCGGCGCGCCTCGTCCGCCGCTCGCTCTGCCTCCCGCCTGCTTGCCGCCTGCTCGCGCTCTCGCGCCGCCGCCACCTCCTCCCGCTCGCGCTGCTCGCGCCGCCCCTTGGCCTCGAGCGCCTTCTCTGCAGCCTTCTCTGTCGCCTCGGCCTCCCTCAGCGCCGCTGCGTGCTCTGTGAGAGCGCGCACGCACCCGGCGTGGTCCGTTTCACTGGCAGTAGATAGCACCTTGGCCGCCTCTTCCTTGGCCATCTGCAGCGCGCACCTGCCGTCTGCAGAGCGAGTCTTCGTGTCTGCGCCCAACTGCAGTAGACAGCGCACGACGGGGAAACGGCCGGATATGGCGGCGAACATCAGCGCGGTCCAGCCGCCGATGTTCTGCAGGTTGATCTCCGCGCCGCGCTGTAGCAGCAACTCGACCACCCGCTCGTGGCCTTGGGTGGCGGCGAACATCAGCGCGGTGCCGCCGACGCTGTTCTGCATGTCGACCTGCGCGCCGCGCCAAAGCAGCACCTCGACCACCCGCTCGTGGCCTTTGATGGCGGCAACCATCAGCGCGGTGACGCCATTGCTGTCCTGCAGGTCGACCTCAGCTCCATGCCGAATCAGCAGCTCGACCACCCGCTCGTGGCCGATGTTGGTGGCGCACATCAGCGCGGAGCTGCATGGCACAACCTTCTTACTCGTGACGCCGACGCTGCTCTGCATGTCGACCTCTGCGCCGTGCTGAATCAGCAATTCGACCACTCGCTCGTGGCCTTTGCCGGCAGCGTGCATCAGCGCGGTGATGCCTGTGCTGTTCTGCAGTTTAAGCTCTGCGCCGTGCTGCAGCAGCAGCTCGACCACTCGCTCGTGGCCGTTGGTGGCAGCGAGCATCAGCACGGTGTCGCCGTCGTTGTCCTGCGCGTTGATCTCCGCGCCGCGCTGCAGCAGCAGCTCGACCACCCGCTCGTGGCCTTCCTGGGCGGCGATCATCAGCGCGGTGCCGTCATCACTCCTCTGCAGGTTGATCTCAGCGCCGTGCTGCAACAGCAAATCGGCCACCTGCTCGTGGCCTTGGGTGGCGGCGAACATCAGCGCGGTGCTGCCGTCGCTGTCCTGCAGGTTGATCTCCGCGCCGTGCTGCATCAGCAGCTCGACCACCCGCTCGCGGCCGTAGTGGGCGGCGTTCATCAGCGCGGTGACGCCTTTGCTGTTCGGCATGTCGACCTGCGCGCCGCGCTGAAGCAGCAGCTCGACCACCCGCTCCTGGCCGTTGCCGGCGGCGCCCATCAGCAGCGTGACGCCAATTGCCTTGCCTTTGTCGTCCGTCGCGTCGGCCCGCCCGCCGCCGTCGAGCCACTCCAGCACTGCCTCCTCATCGCCTCGATTAGCCGCTGCCATGACCGCTTTGGGGACAAAAAAGCGTCACCCCTCAACACCATCGCTGGGTTCTGGCTCTTTGAGGGTAGGGGCACACCCATACCGCGCCGGTGTCCAATCCCCAAGCCTGACTGTTCTTCACCTCGTAACATACAAACGAATAATCAGCAATTTTAACGTACAGTAGGCAGTACTCCGACTCTCCGAGAGACATGCTCACCCTCCCCCCTCTCTCTCTCTCTCATGTCACTCAGTCGGGTGCGACGAACACCGCTTGCCCGCGGCGTTGCGGCCTCAGACGGCCCCCCGCCGCTCAGCCGAGTCGACGACCCAGAGGCAAAGACGGCCGAGTCGACTCGCCGCCGCCGCCTTCTCCTCGTTGACGAGGATGGAAGAGGCCGGCTCAGACGGCTGAGCCAGAGAATTGGCTGGGGCTGCAGAAGCAGCGTATCTCGGTCGTTCTTCACACGGCAATCGCAGAGCAGATTGTGAATGAGCTTGCCTGTGGCGGGGGCGGGCGGGCGGGTGCACGGAGCTAAGTGCCTCGCCGCCCTCGCGGGAGTCGCTTAGGCGGCTCCCGTGGTGTACCTGTGTTAGTGCCAGTGCGCGCCAGTCCCGTGCCCAGTGTCGTGCGAGGGAGTTGCGTTGTAAAATTCTTTTGCAGTGCCAGTCCCGTACCCGGTGTCGTGCGAGGTAGTTTTGTTGTAAAATTATTTTGAAATTCTTTCGCACGGCGCCCCGTGCTGAGAGAGCGAACACACCTCTCCGCCACCGCCGCCTGCCGGTCCCTTGTCCTCGCGGCTTCTTGCGCCTTTCGGCGCAGCTCCGCCCTCCTCGCTGCATATCCTGGCCCCTCGAGTCTATCGAGCTCTCCTCGAGCAAGGACGAGTCTTCTGACGCCCACTGCTATCATTTGCCGCCAAGTCATATCATTGCTCAGTTCCACTCTCTCTTCGAACACTTGGGCCTTCACTGACGCCCCCCACAGCAAATCGGTTTTTGCCCTTAAATAGTGCGATTTCCCACCACTGCCAAGCGAAAAATAGGCCATCAAAAATCGCCAAAAATCGCACTAATCTCGACGCGCGTTTAGGTTAAGGGCGCGTCGAGATCCAAAACTCGACGCGGCCAACTCCAAGCCCGAATCTGGCCCAGAACCTACCAAGGCGTCGGCTTTCGCCGCTTCCGTTTCCTTGAGCACCAGGATGACAGAACTGGCCGTTGTCAGACTAAGGACTATTGTGCGCCTCGCCGAGGCGCACAATAGTCCCCGTCAGCGCCACGCGCGAGAGCATGTGTCCAATGTGCAACGCGGCGGCGCGATCAGTCACGGGACGACCGACGGAAGCCGGATAAGCCACAAAACTCGCTCTCGCAGAGCAGGTTTTCACCGATTTGCTGTGGGCGTTGGCTGAAAATAGTGCTGAAAACCGACCAAGTTAAGCGAAAATTGGTCCAACGAAAACGGCACTAGTTAAGGGCAAAAACCGATTTGCTGTGGGGGGCGTGATGATGCCGGCGGAGGAGAAGAGTGCGAGGGAGGTAGGTAGGGTAGAAAGGTGAAGAAAAGCGAGGAATTGTAAAATTCTTTCGCACGGCGCCCCGTGCTGAGAGCGAACACACCCCCCCGGTCTCTGGCTCGCTGGACTCGCATATGTCGACTATCAGCGGGCCATCCGACGCCGCGAGCGACGGGGTGGCGCAAGAGGCCGCGGGCGCTGGTCCGGTGCCAGGTCCGCAGGCGCCGCAGGGCACGGCGGCGCAGGCTGACGGCTCGCGGGTGCGGCCGCAGCGTCACGCCTCGATCGAGCGCTTCGTGGCCGGCCCCGCCCCGCCCCCTTCCGTGGCGGCGGAGGCGGCCCGCGCCGCCGCCGCGATGAGCGACTGGACGGGCGGCGGCTCGCTACCCTATCGCCTTGTCCGCATCGAGGAGGCGCTGCCGTTCGAGGACGTCGAGGCCTGCTGGAAAGGGCGGCGGGACGAGTGGCGGGACGAGGTCGTGGGCGCGGCCGGGTCTGCCGTCGACCTCGCCGGCTTGCTCGCGGAGCTCCTGTGCTCCCTGACGGCGGCGGCGGTGTCCTACCTCTGGCGGTCTCGCGGCCAGTATGACAAGCTCTACGGCGAGCTCTACGACCTCGCGTCGGGGCGCAGGTCCGACCCAGTTGCAGCGACACTCCGCCGGCTCGTCGCGGCAGTCGAGACGGCGGCGCTGCCTCCCGCCGACGCGCGCGAGAGGCAGCTCAAGGTGGTGCAGCTGCCGCCCGCGGAGGCGGCCGAGGGGGCGGCCGTGCAGGTTTACTTTTCGGACGAGGAGCGGTGGTACCGCGGCACGGTCACGGCCGTGAATGAGAACAAGACGTTTACGGTGCTCTTTGAGGACGGCGACGAGGACGCGTCGGTGCCGCTCTGCGACCTCTACCAGGAGCTGCTGGAGGACGGCAAGCCGCTGGAGCTGGGCCTCGGCGCGACTCGCTCTCTCTCTCTCTCTCTCTCTCTCTCTCTCTCTCTCTCTCTCTCTCTCTCTCTCTCTCTCTCCCCCCCCCCCCCCTCTCTCTCTCTCTCTCTCTCTCTCTCTCTCTCTCTCTCCCTCCCTCTCCCTCCCTCCCCGGTCGGAACCTTCTCGGAACTGTCCCGGCAGGCGACCCGGGGCCAGACCTGGCCGAGGGCGACCGCGCCACCGCCCTGCACCTCCGTCGAGCGTGGTGCGCAGCTGAGAGGGAGGGTGTAGAGGGTGTAGAGCGCTGTAGAGCGCTGTAGAGCTGTAGAGAGCTGTGGAGCGCTGGAGAGCGCTGTAGAGAGCTGGAGAGCTGTAGAGCTCTCCATCCGGCGCGGGACGGAAGGCGCCTGGGCGTTGTAGAGAGCGATGTACAGATCGAGGGGTCCCGTGCCACGCGGAATCGACCCTATCCAGTGCTCCAGTGCTCAAGCGATGTGAATCTTCGCGCGAATTCTCACCGTGAAATCACACCCTCCGCCGCAGGTGCGCGGCGCGGGTGGCCGCGGTGCGGGCCGGCCCGCTCGAAGGCACCACCGAGCTCCTCATCAAGTACGAGGGCTGGGCCGCTAAGTGGGACGAGTGGGTGCAACGCGACTCGGGCCGGCTTCGGCTGTACCGGCCCGACGAGCTCACGCTGTCCTCGCTCCCCGACGAGGTGCACACAACCACACACACACACACACACACACACACACACACACACACACACACACACACACACACACACACACACACACACACACACACACACACACACACACACACACACGCTCCACCCACGCGCACCGGGCCTTGCACTTTGAATGCCGTGCCAGCTCCTGCCTGTCCAGACGTGGTGTCGCGAGGCTGGGTCGCCCTGGCCCTCGCCCCACCACCTTCTGACTATATGCTGCGAGTTGCGTCTCGGCCGCCTAGCGGCGCCCCCTGAGCGTAGCGAGGGGCTGTGAGGGTACCCAGCACCTGCTAGTGGTGTCTTCTGACCGGCCCGAGCCCAAAAAGCCGACCAC